GGCATAGTTCCAAATTGCTCTCCAAAATGGTTGGATCATTTCACATTAAGTTCCAATTTCCGTCCCTCCCTCCAGCCCCTTCCCCACCCATTGAGAAGACAAGTAATATAATACCCATATAGATGTGCTGGGTGGGTCCCTTTGTAAGTGGTGTTGAAGGAATTAATGAATAAGGAGAGCTTGGGGATGATGGAAAAGAGAAGACATTGGGAGGTGAGCTAATGGGAAAGATGGGACAAACTAGGCTTGAGAGCACTGAAAGAGGAGCTGACCCTGGCAAGGAGAAGAACCATCTACCAGAGAGCAGCAAAAGATGAGAGGATGGGTGATGGTGAAGGTGGTTTTTTGTTTTTTTTTTTTAATAAAGGGACTTATTTAATAGCAGTAGATTTTGGCCAGTAGGGCACAGGCTCCACCCACAAGACAATCTTTTCCTCAGCTCTTCTGCTGAGGAACTTTACCTTCATGAGGAGTAATGTCTGGAGGAGCTTCCTTGGCCCAGGATTTTTTAGGAACCTCAGTGCATTAATAAAGGCAGCTAGGCAGCACAGTGGATAGGGCACTGGGCAAGTCAATGTGTGCCTCAGTTTCCTCAACTGTAAAATGAGGAAAACAATAGTACCTGCCTCCCAGGGTTGTTGTGAAGATCTAATGAGATTATATTTGTAAGCTGCTTAGCACAGTACCTGGCACGTAGAAGTCACCCAGGCTTGTCAATGGGGCATTATTCTTGACTGATCACTCTGGCTCACACCATATAGCTAAACAGCTGTCCAAGCTTCTCATTTTTATCTCCATGTCTGTTGCAGCCATCCACTTCTCTTCACTCTCATAGGTACCACCCTGGTTAAGGATTTCATCACCTCTTCCCTGAAATACTGAAATAGCCTTCTCTTTTTTTAAAAAAAAATGTTTATTTATTTTTAGTTTTCAACATTCACTTTTATAAGATTTTGAGTTCTAAATTTTCCCCCCTCCCTCTATTCTCTCCTCCCCAAGACACCATGCAATCTGATATAGGCTATATATGTATGATTGTATTAAACATATTTCCACATTAGTCATTTTTTTCTTTTTTTTTTGGCTAGGCAATAGGGTTAAGTGACTTGCCCAGGATCACAAAGTTAGTGAGTGTTATGTGTCTGAGGCCAGATTTGAACTCAGGTCTTCCTGACTCCAGGGCTGGTGCTGTATCCACTGTGCCACCTAGCTGCCCCGACATTAGTCATTTTGTGAAAGAAAACACAAAAAAGGGAAAATGGTACACTTGCAATAGCTTTTTCTAACTGGTCTCCTCGACTCGAGTTTTCTCCTCTCCAATCCACCCTGACATAGCTGCTAAAGTGATTTTCCTCCAGCACACATGCGATCAGATCCCTCCCCTACTCTGCAACCTCCAATGGCTCCCTATTGCTTTATAGGATGAAATAGAAATACCTCTGCGTCACTTTTAAAGTCCTTCATAACCTGGTCCCAACTTATTACCCATGACTTCCCTCCCTGCATGCTACAGTTCAGCCTAGCTAGACTTCTTTCTGTTCTTCACACACGATACTCTAGAGCCCATCTCCTTGCCTTTGCACTGGCTGAGGCTCATGCCTATAATGCATCCCCACCTCTTAAAATCCTTGATTTACTTCAAAATCCTTTCTTTCTTTCTTTTTTTTTTTTTTTTGGTGAGGCAATTGACTTACCCAGGGTCACACAGCTAGTAAAGTGTCACGTATCTGAGGTCACATTTGAAGTCAGGTCTTCCTGACTCCAAAGCCGGAGCTCTATCTACTGCGCCACCTAGCCGCCTCCCAAAATTCTTTTCAAACCTTCTACATGAATACTTTCCTGACTCCCCTTCCCTAGTATTATCCCTACCCCCAAAATGTATCCTGAATTTACTTTATATTTATTTTGCATGTGGTTTTGTGTTGTCTTCCCTGATAGACTATAAGCTTTTTGAGACAGGTACTACCTCATTTTTCTCTTTGTATGTTCCATGCCTAGCACAATGCCTGGTATATAGTAGATGCTTAATAAACAGATTGGGAGACTTGAGGAGAAAGGAGAATGTTTGGAACAGCAGCTGTGAAGAGTGAGATTCAAAGTCAGAGAAAAATAAAAGGATTATCATGAAACAGGAAGGCCCATCTGAGCAGTATAAATGATAGAGCAAAGAGATTATGCCCACAAAAGGATGTGGGCTGGTGAAGGGAGCTGATAGATAGCCTATTGTCTATGTAAAGTCAAGAGGAAGTCTCTGAGCCCACTGTGTAGGCTCCACAGTGGGAAGGGAAGAGGAAGGAAATAAGTAAGCATTTATATAGTACCTACTATGTGTTAGGCACAGGGCTAAGCACTTTACAAATATTATTTCACTTGATCCTCACAACAAAAGCCCTGTGAGGTAGGAGATGTAATTATCCCCATTTGCAGCTGAGGAAACAGGCAGAGAGGCTAAGTGATTTGCCTAGGGTCACACAGCTAGTAAGTGTTTGAGGCTGGATTTGAACCCAGGTCTTCCTGACTCCAGACCTACCACTCTATCCATTGTACTACGTTGCTGCCTCTACAAGAGAGATGTAAAGGCAGGGTTGTGTTGCATGAAACCTGCCCTCCTAGAGGGAGGACCTATGACATCACGGATTCACCGACCCATTGAAGTCTATCTTTTCTGGAATTAGTGAGAAGCACCAGCCCCTGCACAGAAAAAAAAAAGGGACATGCTTAGAGTGTTAATATCTTAGCATTGGGTGTGGGGAGGAGAGTCAGAGAAGGCAAAGAAGAAAGGGAGGGAACAAGGCTTGGGAGCTGCATGATCTCAGGGATGGAGGGACAGAGAGAGGGAAAGATTAGAGGAGCAGTAGAGACAGAGAGACAAATATTAAGAGAGAGAAAAATAGCAATATAACGTCATGGAGGGAAAAAAAAAGAATTGCAACAGCAGTCTAATCTCACTGGGGCTTTTGTCAACTCCTGGGCCTCAGCTGGAGGTGGGAGGATTGTTTCAGTTTTATGTATCCCACAGCTATTCTGGGACTCATTAGTACAAAAGTCTTACTTCTAGCCCTGGCATATGAAGAAACAGACTGAGAGATAAGAGGTGAGCCAAGAGAAAGAAACAGAAGCAGCTAGGTAGCACAGGGCATAGACTGCATTGCTTAGAATCAAGAAGGACCTGAGTTCAAATACTGCTTCAGGAGTACTTATCTTCCAGGCCTCTCATGAGAATAAAATGATATATTGGTAAAAGTATTCTTAGGGGCAGCTAGGTGCCCTGGAATCAGGACCTCAGACACTTGACACTTATTAGCCGTGTGACCCTGGGCTGGTCACTTAATCCTGATTGCCCTTAAAAAAAAAGTGCTCTGTCCCTCTGGGTCCTCTCCTCAAAATTTCTCTCTGCAGCCAGGAAGGCCTTAGGTCTCCCTCATCCCCCCAGCCTCAGCCCCCACCACTGGGCACTATAAACTTAGAGGATCATCCACTCCCTTACCTTCAGGCCCTCTTCCCTCTTTTTTTGTGGTTCTTGCTTAGTCTCATCTGACACTGTGACCCCATTTGGGGTTTTCTTGGCAAAGATACTGGAGTGATTTGTCATTTTCTTCTCCAGCTCATTTTACAGATGAGGAAACTGAGGCAAACAGGGTTAAGTGACTTGCCTAGGGCCACACAGCTAGTAAGTATCTGAGGCTGGATTTGAACTCAGGTCTTCCTGATTCCAGGCCCAGCACTCTGTGTACTATGGCACCACCTAACTCTCCTCTTACTGCCTGGTTTTCCTAGGGAGGGCAGGAGATGTTCAGAGCTAAAGAGGGAAAGAGAGGAGAGAGGAGAGAGGCTATGGTCCTGTCAATTCATCAATAAACTTTGGTGGAGGGCCTTTTCTTACCAAGGCACCGGGGCGGGCAGTGCCAAAGAGACTAAGGTATACTAAAAGGAAAACAGACCCTTCCCTGAGCTTGCAGTTATAGAATATGAGATTCAGATCTGGAAGGGAACTGAGCCTCAAAGAAGCTGAGACTTTCCCAGGACATAATTGCAGAGAGAGACCAAAGAATTCATAATTAGCTAATAATGGAGATGGGGCGAGGGGTGTCCGGATCTCCCAACACTCCACATCCTATGTCCCTCACTCCAGGATGGAGAGCCTTGCTCAGAGGTGGGCACAGGCATTAAGGCAATCAGCTTCCTAACAGGAGGTTATGTTTTGAAGCGAGGTGGAGGCATGGTTCTCCTTTCTAAACCTCCCTTCATTCCAGGGATGTTTTGTGTACAGTATGTGTGTGTGTGGGGCATGTTTTATATCCTCTGTGGGGCCTCTCAGTGGTGGCTTTGGTCCCCCCACCCCATCCTCCTCCTATCCTACTCACCCTCTGCACTTAACGATGCCTTTACTCCCACCTTCCCCCCTTATCCTGTTTAACCTCAAACAGCCAAGTTCTGGGTTGAGATAAGAACTCTGTTTAATATCAATAAGGGGCAAGGGAGTCCCCCTTTTAGGGCAGTCAGCATTTGCCCACAAGTACTCCATCCCCTGATGTGGAAGATACCAATGGGATGAGGAGTCAAGGAATGTCCAGATTGTCTTCATTAGGAGATATTGATTGCATTTACAAGCCCCACGAAGGAAAGTCTGGCCCAGGTCTGGGCACTCCATGTCCAGGGTGACCCAGTCTACTAGAGCATCCACCCCTCAGGGAGAGCGTAGCTAGCTAGCCCCTAGCTCCTCAGGTCTGTTTCCCCCCAGGCTCAGCTAGTCTGTTTCCACAACAAGGCAGGCTGTGTGCCCTGTAAACTTGGTCCCTCCCCATTCCACACCTCTATGCTGGGGACACTGTGACCTGAGTGGGGGTGGGAGCTCCCTGGACCCAACTCTCCTTTCAAGAATGAGAGAAGGGTGCAGCCCCTTCCCCCCTCCTCCAAACCAGGGAAGTTGGGGTGACTCCCACCACCAGGACCTAATGAGGAACCCTAGGACTCCTACACTCTCTCAATGGCGAGTAAACTAGCACCTCACTTCCAGAGCTAGAGCAGATAATGCCTTATGTTCACAGGATCTGGAGGTGAGTTGTATGCATGTGTATACGAGGATCTGTGTATATAAGATTGTGTGTGTATATACACATTCATATGTATATATGTATGCATACATACACAGTGCATGTGTATATACATGCATGCATGTATATGTGTGCACACACATGTGTGCAAAGCTATTTAAGTATACTGCGTGTGAATGTGTGTGGTAAATAGATAACTAGCTTTAAAGCCAGGATCCCCAGGATCTGGGTTCAAGTCTCATCTCTGACATATTCTGGTTGTCCCAAGGTTCTGAATCTTCAATCAGCAAATAAGCATTTATTAAGCATGGCCGAAGAAAGCTAAGTTTGACAACAGAGGTCTTGGGTTCAAATCCAGTCTCTGTTTCTCCCCATACCCCTCCTCTCCCACTTTGGACATGCACTTTTTTTTTTTTTTGGTGAGGCAATCAGGGTTAAGTGACTTGCCCAGGGTTACAATGGACCCGCACTTTGTCTTTGATATTTTGCCTCAAACTCTAGCTCTGTGACTGGAAGCAAGTATCAGTACCAGGCTTAACAACAGACCCTGGAGATACAAAGCCAAAAGCTTACTTTATCCAGCAGAGACAACATGAACATGTAAGGATATAGAGTATAGATAAAGAATAGGCGGCAGCTAGGTAGTACAGTAAAAAGACAGCACTGGCCCTGGAGTCAGGAGGACCTGAATTCAAATGCAGCCTCAGACACTTGACACTTATTAGCTGTGTGACCCTGGGCAAGTCACTTGACCCCAACTGCCTCAGAAAGAAAAAAAAAGATTCTGTATGTATAGAACTCTATCTCTGAACATCTATCTTCATGGTTCTGTGTGGGCCCCCCATATTTGTAAATGTTCTTCTCTGTTCATATCATGTTTTCATGTCTCTCGGTAAAATCATAGATTGAGAGCTGGAAAGAGTTTTAGAGGCCATTGAGTCATTCTCCCCTTCCCCCATTTTACAGATAAGAAAACTGAGACCCAGAGAGGTAAAGTGACTTGCCTAGGGTCACAGTGCTAGTAAGTATCTGAGGCAGAATTGGAAATGGAAAGTGACATGTCCAAAGTGGGGGGGGGGCGGGGAGAGAAAGAGACTGAATTTGAACCCAGGATCTTTGATATCAAATTCAGCTTTCTATACTGTATTACAACACACTGGGGAGGGAGAGAAAGTATAGAAGAATCCCCATAAACTTGTTTTCCTCATCTCAAGATCCAGCCTCCCCTACTGTCACCCTCCCATGGGTTAATAATTATTGGATATCCCGTTAGTGGCTCCCAGTCCCAGCCCCTTCCCAGACTCAGCTGCCTTTGGCCTGTCTGGGCTTTAGGAGGAGTCCTGCTCTCCAGCCAAACAGAGCCCTTAGGCTTGGCCCCGCCCCATCCCTGGGTTATTTTTCCAGGATCTATAAAGTAAGAGACCCCAGGTGGGGCCACTCCCAGTGGAAAGAACCTGTATTCCACCTCCAGGACGTTCTGGTGCTGCTGCTGCTGCTGTTCTGGGTTGCTACTCCTCCTCTTCGATTCCCTTCACCCCTTGAGCATCACCATTGCCTTCCACCATTCAGCATCTTACCCTTGCCCACAATGTTACTCTGGCACAACCAACCAGAACATCTGTGGCCCAGCCCAGGGGAACTATACCCCTGTCCCACTAGCAATCTGCTCAGGTAGGTGCTTCCAGCCCCAGGAATACCCCCAAGGCCTCTTCTCCCTCATCCTGCAGCTCGCCCTGAGGGCAGTCATTTGCCTAGGCACCCACCTTAATCCCTTGCAGTCAGTCCCTTCCAGTGTCTGTCCATTTCTCCCTGCCTCATCTGGGTGCTCCCTGTTGACCCTGGTTCCCCCAATCTGCAGAACAGGCCAGGGGAGGTGCTCCTCAAATAGGGAGTTTCTTTGAGGGGAGGGGAAAATGTCACCTAGGGTTGACTGAATGAGGAAAAGGTGGGCAGAAATGCCCCTCTTAGGTTTCCAGCCCCTTTGGAGTCTGAGTCCATCTGGGGCTTAGCCATAGTTCTGTGGATCTCCAAGCATTTCCTAAAGGTTTCATTCGCCTTTATGCATCCTCTGGGTTAAAGCAAAACCTGATCTTATCCAGAGAAAGAAGATTGTGAGGTCCAGGAAGGTTTAGTGACAGGGATGGGAGGTACTCTTTCAGGCACTGAACCATGTCAGCACTTCCTGGCTAGATTTCTGGAAGAAGGATTTTCTAAGGAGAGTCGGAGCCTTTTGGAAGATGGGCAGGACACACCCAAGGATATGGGAGAACTGGGAACCATCCTCTGTTAACCTGAGCTGTGAGTGGCCCAGTACTGGGGAGAGCAGGCAGTGTTTGAGAGATGGAGGAGGAGAGCCTGGCAGCTGAGGGACAGTGTCCATCTCACCCCAGCAGGGAGTCCCTGGCACTGCCGTACCTGAAGCAGGAGGACCCTGCCAGCATTTCTACCTCAGACATGCACTGTCCTGTCTTCCAATATGTCCTCTGTGCTGTCACCTCTCCTGCTGTCAAGCAACATGAGGAAACACTCACCTACCTGAACCAGGGTAGGGTACGACCGACATGGGGCAGGGGTGTTGGAGACCGACTACTCAGTGGGTTTTTATCGGGAACCTGGAAGACCCAGGTTTGGATCCTACCTGTAATACTTACTATCCATGTGACCTTGGGTGTCATTGGAATCTTAGTTTTCCCATCTGTAAAATGGGGGTAATAACATTTTCCTCACAGGGTTCTTGTAAGAGTTAAGCACATGATGTGTGGAAATTGCCCTGCAAACCTTAAAGGGCTATGTAAGTGTCAGTTGTTCGGTCTCTGTATCCCTAACACCTGGCTAGCATGGTACCTGGTACCCTGACAAAGGGACTTAAATGTTTTTGAATTATCATTAAGAGGCACAGTGATGTAGGGAATAGAAAGCCAGCTTTGGAGTTGGAAAATCTGGGTCCAGATTCTACTTCTGATGAATATTGGATGTAACCCCAGGCAGGTCGCTCAATTTCTCAGTGATCCAGACATCTCTCTAAGAACAAACTGTAGAGGTGCCAATTTGTGCTGTCAATCTTCATTGGAAACTCCCCGAATGGACCTTTAAACAAACTGTTATTAGTGGGATTGGAGCCCGGATACCACAATGGAGTTGATGAGTACAGATGATGGACCTGAGCCCCAGGGGGGTCACAGACCACAGTCAGCACGGGCAATAGGAGTTTGGAGGGCAAAGGGACCCCAGGATGGAAGGGATCATCTCTGGTCTTCAGATGGTCCTCCCGGCTTTAGGCATGACTGATTCCCATCCTGATCTCTTCCAGGGCAATCCTATGAAGTCCGGATGCTCTGTAACCCCAAACTAGGGGACGCTTCCCAGTGGCCTCGACTGCTGAAAGTGAGTCTCTCCTCACCTCTGAACCTTCATTTAGAGCAAATGCCGGATAAAAACTATTGCCCCTCAGGTGTGAAGGTGCTAGACAGGAGGTTGCCTTGTCTGCTGTTCCTTTCCCCGCCATCTTGAATGCTGGACACCATTCTTCAGAGGCAGCAAAGATAGAATAATGGAGAGAATATTGTATGGGAGGTCAGGAAGCCTAGGATTCAAACCACTAACTAGCAGTGTAAACATGGAACCACTTAAGTCACTTAACCTCTCCAAGAATCAGTTTCCTTACCTGTAAAATGGAAGAGATAACTTGTAGAGCCGGGTCTTACTGAGAGGCACAAAGGAGATCATGCATTTTAACACCTCCTGCAAACAAAAGCATTTGGGAAGCATCAGGCTCCCAGGCAAATAATTATTAATCAGTCTTTCAATCCCTGTAGGATTGAGCAATTGTCTTCTTATTAGGGGGTGGGGGAGAAGAGGGAGAGGAGAGGTAGCTTGAATCAGATGACGAGTACTTGGAGGGCTAGACTCTGGAATTTCTCAAGTGTGTCTCTGAGTGGGGGGTCTGGTGTCCACAGAGTGTGGTACGTGTGGTCTTCCACGACCGACGCCTGCAATACACGGAACAACAACAGCTGGAAGGCTGGCGGTGGAGCCGTCCAGGAGACAGGATACTGGATATTGGTGAGGGGAGGAAGGTGGAAGAGCCCCCCCATGGGACTTCCCTGGACAGGATACTGGATATCGGTGAGGGGAGGAAGGTGGAAGAGCCCTCCTCATGGGACTTCCCTGGACAGGATACTGGATATTGGTGAGGGGAGGAAGGTGGAAGAGCCCCCCCATGGGACTTCTCTGGATCCGTGGGGACCTGGAGAGGGGGCTTTGGGAGGCTGTGGTGGTGGGAAGCTTTCAGGATGCTGTTACTTTCTGCTGCTCCCTTTCTATGAGTTTAACTTTGGTGCCTGCCTACCTCTTCCCCTGTGCCTACAGATGTGCCCCTATCGGTGGGGGTGATAGAGCCCCAGGTACTGCCCTCACTTCTCAACACAGTGGAGTTTCTCTGGGATCCTGCAAAGAGGACATCTCTCTTCTTGCAGGTCAGGGGTTAGGGTATATCAGATATCATTCCTGCCCTCTAGTCGATCATTGACTGGGTGGTGGGATGAGGTATGATAGGACACAAACACATTAGGAATAACTAATGCCAGGAAGTATATGAAACTTGGTAGGTGACTGGTACTGGGGGAGCTCAGAGGCACTTGGGTGTTCAGGAGGAGATGGTCCTTGAGCTGGGGGCGGGGGGCACTCTGGGAGAGGAGAGCCCTGGGAGGCAGGATACTCCAAGCAGATGATTATGCTACTGGGTTTAGATAAGGACAATAAAGGGGTAAGAAGCAAGATGATGTGGGGTAAAATATTGAGCTGGGTTCTACTGATGCTAACTGGCAATTTGACTTTGGAAATCTTGGATGTTCCATTTAGAGGATCTGGGTTCAAATCTCACCTCTGACATACCAGTGCAACCAGGGCAAGTAACTTGACCTATGTCTCAGTTTCTTTATCTGTAAAATGGTTAGACTAGATGATCAGTGAGGGCTCTTCCACATCTAGATATGAATGATTCTGAGTCATTGTTCCTTAACTCACAGTTCCCCCATCTTGAAAAAAATGTTTATTTGCTATAAATACAAATATTAAATAAATAAATACATATACTTGCTATATGCTAAGCACTTTACAAATGTTATCTCATTTGAGCCTCACAACAAGGTTATTATAACCATTATACAGATGAGAAAACTAAGGCAGACAGAGGTGAAGTGATTTACCCAGGGTCACACAGCTGGTAAATGTCTGAAACTGGCTTTAAACTTAGGTCTTCCTGACTCTAGGCCCCGTATTCTACCCACTGCACCGTTTAGCTGCCACAACAAGGCCAGTAATGTTCCTTCCAGGTACAACGTCCTGGGATAGATATCAGAATAGGTAGAATATCCCACATGGGAGGAGAGGCTAGACCAAGTGATTCTTAACCATTGTGTAATGACAGCAGGATGGATCTCTCTGGTGGTCTGCTGAAGACCATAGGCCCCTTCTGAGAATCATTTGTTTAAATTCACAAAATGAAACAAAATAGACTACAAAGGAAATCCGTTATTTAGACATAGTCATAAAAAATGGTGGGGGTGTGTGTGTGTGTGTTTGCAGACCCCAGATGAAGATCTCCTAGAACAGATGAATCTGTTTTTTGGCTCTATCTGGTAGCAGAAATTCTGGCCCTGGCTAAGCCCCTACTTTTGTCCGCTTATCCCCTTCCTTTTCTGTCACAGGTTAATTGTATCAGTACAGAGTTCACCCCTCGAAAAAATGGTGGGGAGAAGGGTGTCCCCTTCCGCATCCAGATTGACACCTTCAAACCAGCTGACAAGGGGATACCCATAGAGCATCTGCACTCAGCCAGCTGCCTCATAAAAGTCTTCAAGGTCTCCATTTGGGCCCGAAACTGCCCTCTCCTCCTTGGACCCCAGCACTGTCTCCAGCCCATCTTGTCTTTGGCAGCTCCTCAAGTTGTCCTAACAGACCTCTGGGGGACGTGGGCTTCTTGACTGCTTTGCCCTCATTCCCATTTCCTGAATTGTTTTCCTAGAGGGGGGGTGGGTGGAGGGGGTTATGGATAGGACCCTGAGGTTTCCACATGGACTCCTCTGCAGCCTAAAGGGGCTGACCGGAAGCAGAAAACAGACAGAGAGAAGATTGAGAAGCAGTCACCACAGGAGAGACAGAAGTACCAGCCAGCCTATGAGACCACTGTCTTCACAGAGGTGTGTATATGTGCAGCAGCACCCCTACTGGGGCTGAGAGTTGAGGTTCTTGGTATGAATCCTTCTACGGTCTCATTTGTCTTAGTGGAAGGGCACCATAAGCAGTTGGGAAAAATAAGGCCTATATTGAAATATTTTAAAACTAAGCACAGAAGAAAAAGGCAGAAAATGTGGGTGAAAGCATAGACAAGCAAGATAGTTTTGCAAGTAATATGTAGAATTTATTGCTTTAAAAAGAAAAGTGAGTAGTGTGAAAGAGATATTCATGATCTCACTTAGAATCTTCTTTTGGTGTTCTGCTGTGTTATGTGGAAATGGCTTTTCTTTGGCGGTATTTAAATTCAGAATTAAAAAGAAAAAAGAAAACCAAGTCCTAGAGAGGATCAATTACTTTCCACAGGTTACATAGTCAGAGAGAACCCTAATCTAACTTCTAGCACAGAGCTCTGGATCTACACTGGTCGGTTTTTTTTTTTTTAGGATGGAAGCTGGAGAGGGTGGAGGTGGGGTGGGCAGAGAGACATCCTGGTTCTCCAAGCAGACATTCCCCTCAGGGATGGATCTACGTTCCTTATCCACAAGCCCTTTCTTCTGGGGAAGGAAGAGAACTGGGCACAAGGTGGCACCCTGGGTCTCTGAGGGAAGCAGAGCTGAGGATGAGAGCTAAGGAGGGGTCCCTTTCCTTTCTCAAATCCCAATCCTAGGGGAGTCACATGTCCTCTAAACATTCCCCCTCTTTTCCCCAGTGTTCACCGTGGCCTGAAACCTCTACCGGTCTTCATGCCTCTCCCAGCCCTTCTGGCCTGACTTCTCCCCATTCTTTCAAGTTCCTGACCCCTGACAGGTGAGTAGAAACTGGGGCAGGAGAAGAGGATTGGTCTCATCTGTTTCTTCTTCATCCCCTTCTTTTGCCCCTCAGAGGTATAAGGTCAAGGGTGATTAAAGGGGGGAGGGAAATGACATTGATTCATTCATTCACAAAACATTTACTGAGCACAGTTTAATGGGGCATGGAGGGTGGGGCACAAAGACGAATGGGACACAGTCCCTACCCTCCACGTGCTTCCAGTCTAACAGGGAGAGAGATAAGACAGGAACACAGATCACATGTTCCTATCCCAGGTAGTAACTGCAAGGCGATGGAGGTAACAAGGCTAAGTTCTGTAAGAGCTCAGAGGGCAGAAACAACACCCCAGTGTCCAGCCTTCCAAGTCCTGTCTGTTGTTTCTCATAGGATCTGTTCTTCCCCACCCTTCTCTCTGGACAGCTCAGTGGACAGCCCGGGTGAGGTAAATCTCCCCCCAGACTTTCCTGCTTCATCCCCTTTCTCAGCAGTGTCACCCTGCCCCCTGGTGGCCATGCTTGGCATTGACCTGAAATTAGTCGGACGGGCATTGCCCAGGTTGGATAGAGATGATACTTACTTCACATACACTTCTCTAGCACTTTAAAAGGTTTACAGAGTGATTTCCTCAAAACAACCCTGTGAGGTAGGAAGCATAAGCTCATGGTTCCTATTCAGATACAGAGAGACAGGGCTTCAGAGAGAACGTGTTACAGAGCAACATATGGGACTCTTGCTCATAACCTTTACTATCAGCCCAGGGCCTATAAAATGAAATCTGAAGTCCTCAGCCCCGCATTCAGCTCCTCTCCCAACCTATCTTCCCAGCTTTGCTTGTCATTTGAACACTCCTTGCACCTTCACACTCTAATCAGGTGCCTGGTACAAGCTCTACCCATGAGGTAACTTTAATCAATGCATTTTTTACCACTCACTAAAATAAGTACGCGTTTTGCCTCCTGCCTCCCTTCTCAGGCTCTCAGCCCTGGGGCTTCTATCTCAGAGACACAGCAGTGGTTACACCGTCACCGATTCTCCGGCTATTGCAGGCTGCTGGCCAACTTCACTGGTGAGGCTATCCCCTTGCCTCCACCTGCTGTGGGGTGGGTGGGCAGGACTCCCCAAATCTTTCTGTTTTGTCCCCAGCTTACTAAGCAAACAGCCAATACCTAGCATTTGTATGGCTTTAAGATCTGTGAAATACTTTACATATATCATTTGATCCTCATAACTAACATATATATATATATATATATATATATATATATATATATATATATAGAAGAGAGAGAGAGAGAGAGAGAGAGAGAGAGAGAGAGAGGTGCTATTGTTATTTCCATTTTATAGATGAAGAAACTGAAGTTGAGAAGCTAAGAGACTTTGCCCAGGGTTATATAGCTACTATGCGTCTGATTCAGGATTTAAACTGGGGTCAGTCCAATTCCACCCTGTAAAGTGGGGCTAGGGCAGCTAAGTGCCACAGTGGATAGAATGCTGAGCCTGGAGTCAGGAAGACCTAACTTCCCGGGTTCAAATCTTGCCTCAGATGCATAATAGCTGTGTGACCCTGGGCAAGTCACTTAACCTGTTTGCCTCAGTTTCCTCATTTGTAAGATGAGCTGGAGAAGGAAATGGCAAACCACTCCAGTATCTCTGCTAAGAAAACCTCAAATGGGATCATGGAGAAGTGGGGCTAACAAGACTTGCACTACTGGCTCCCACGGGATTGCAGTAACAATAATGGCTAGCATTTACATAATGCTTTAAGGTTTAGAAACTACTTTTCAAAGATTATTCTCATTTTATCCTCACAACAACCCTGAGAGGTAGATGTTCTTATTATCCCCAGTTTACATTTGAGGAAAATGAGGCAGACAGATTAAAGGACTCACTCAGGCTCATACAACTGGTGTGTCTGAGGTTAAATTTGAATGCAAGTCCAATACTCTCTCCACTGCGCCACCTAGCCGCCTACACTAAGAACTGAAGAGAATGCTCTTGAAGGGAGAAATATTCACTTGACAAGAGCTTCCTGGTCTTAATTCAATTATCAGTTTCACAGAAAAAACATACTATGCTGTCCTGGAGGTCACATAGCTGGAAATACAGATATATCAGGGTGGTGTCTATTTTTTATAATTGAGTTAAACTCAGAGTCAGGCAGGCACATTAGATTGTAAGCTCCTTGACAAGAGTCTTTTTGCCTCTATTTGTATCCCTAAGTGCTTAGTGCAATGCGTGGCACACATCTGTGTGCCAATCATTAAACATCATGTCTATGGACCAAGCTCAGATCATGTCTCTTAACATGCTTGTGTGACCCTGGATAAGTCACCTAGGTACTCAGTATACCAGGTAACTTTCTAAGCCTGAGAGCAGATAATGGTGCATTTGCATTCTGATAGGACTTTTGGGGAAAATCTTTCTAGACCCAATTCCACAAATATAAAGTGCCTTCTAAGTGCTAAGCGTTTTGGATACAAACACAAAAAAGTGCCTGCCCTCAAGGAGCTTATATTCAACACTAAGAAATCAATCTTTAATATTGGAATTTTAGACCGTATGCTTCTCCCCAAGCCTCTGGTATGTCTTTATAGGTGCAGATTTGCTAAAACTCTCCCGCCAGGACCTCATCCAAATCTGTGGAGCTGCTGATGGGATCCGTCTCTCCAATACCCTGAAAGCCAGGTATGAAACCTGGCACTGCCCACTTACTGAGTTCCTCAATGCTTGCCAGGCCTCTTCCTCTCTACCCCTCTCCTCCCTTCAGATCTCAGCTTGTCCTGCATTCTGCAAGACGCCTTTTCCCCTCGTGTCTTCCCTTTGTTGGTTACAAAGTTTGCCTTCATCAGGCTGTGAGCTCCTTTTGAGTAGGGGCTATCTTTCACCTTTTTTTCTATCATCAGTGCTTAGCACAGTGCCTGGCAGTTGACCGATGGGAAGATAAGGCATCAACTAGGAATGATTTCATCTGGAGGTGGGGGTAGGAAGCTGAATTCTCTCACCTCTCGTTGCTAGTAGCTAGCTAGGTCAGTTACTCCTGGTTCCAGCTCAGCACCAGTAGAGGCCCTTCAGGGGCCATTGAGATTGTTTCCTATGGTGTGTGGTCGAAGATGGTGGGAGCCGACTGTAGGGAAGGGAGAGGTTAACTAACAGCTCACATCTCTGGTCCAGGCCTATCCGTCCCAGACTTACCTTGTATGTGTCTCCAGAGGCCCTGAAACCAGGAAGTGAGACCCCACGGAGCCCAGACTCGGGTACAGAAGCCATTTCCATTACTTCTTTCTCCCACCAGGTAGAACCACAGATATGCAATCCCTTCCTGATGTCTATGGGGTTGGGGAGTTTGCATGATTCCCAGTTTGTCCTCACCGTGGCCCAGTGTTGGTCTGCTAACAGCTTTGTCAGGAACCCAAGAGGTCTTTCTCTCTTGAAAAGTCAGGTTTCTTCCTTCTCTTGCTCCTAAACCCAGAGTGAATGCTCAGGCAGTCTTTCCTGATCCACCAATTTGGTTCTAATATCTTGTTACATAACTTACTCTTGATTTTCAAGTCACTTTGTCTGGGACTATACTGTATTCTTCAAAGAATGTTAGCTCCCTGAGGGAAGGTACTGGGGCTTCCAAGTTAGAATTTTTTTTTCTTTCTGATTGCTCTGCATTGGGTTGAGTGCAGTCTTGGGTGAGAATTAGTGATGATGCAAGCCCCCTCAAACTGTTTGTATTTTTCTTGATCCAATCTCAGATTATTGCCAAGATCCCCTGGTCCTGCCTTTCCCTGGACCTTGGGTCATTTACTCCCTCATTCTGCTGCCTCTAGGGTCTTACCAGCAGATATATCTGGAGGAGCTCAGCACTGCTGAACTGACTGGAAAACTGGCTGAACTCTTATCTCTCCCAGCCAATCAAATCCATCGGCTATTTCGCAAAGGCCCTACTGGCATCCATGTACTCATCAGTGACCTGGTAAGAGGGTCACTACATCTTTTCCTCTTTTACCATACCGTTCCTGGGGAACTGTGTGTGTTATTTGTCTCTTTTGGACCATAAGATACCCTAATACATTCCTCAGCCAACCATCCTGGTGTCTTTCCAGGGTTTAGATATTTTCCCTCTGATCCAACCTCCCTTATGCTGGTTTGTCTAGATTTGTCCTGACTTTGGGGGTGGGAGTATCTAAACCAATTTCTCCTTTCCTAACTTGATACTCTCTTCTTGACTACTCCATAGGTGGTCCAAAATCTGGTGGATGAATCCTATTTTGTGGCTGTGGCAAAGAAAGGTAGGAGTACTAAGGGGACAGGCTGGCAAGTGGTGACAGCTGTGTGAGGGCCATATCTTAATCCAACATTTAAACACCTACTATATGCCAGATGTGGAGGCAGGGGGGAGCAACAGATATACAAGACAGTGTGGTATAGTGGACAGAACTGATGGTAGTAGAACCAGACCATCTGGATTTGAATTCCCACCCTACACTTACTGTGTGACCAGGCAAATCACCTGAATTCTCAGCATTCCAGGCTGATAAATCACACACTCATTTACCATCTACAATAATCCTCAGTGGGAGTTCCCCTACATATCCACTAGCACATTGCTGCACTCCAGACTATGGTCTAGGTAGGGAAAGGAGTACTAACAACATAAAACAATTTTAAGTGCCAAAAGAGTGACAGAAAGTATGGTCTCGAATATGGTTCTATACCTGGGGTCTATGAACTTTAATTATTTCAATATAATTGTTTCCTTTTATACATTTAAAAAGGGGTCCACAGGCTTCACCAGGTTTCCCAAAGTATCTCAAACACAAAAAAGATTAGAATTCATTTTTCAGGGGCTCAGGCAAAGGTAAGAACACTGGACTAGGATTACAAAGGATGTTTCACAAGGCTGTGAGCTAGGTAGTACAAGAATTATATCCATTTTATGGATGAAGAAACTAAGGCTCCTCAAGGAGGTTAGGTTCATAACTTACCTAGGGTCATAACAGTTGTAGCCATTAAGTGCCATGGCTCCCAAATGTGAAGGTGTTACTGTGTATTTGAGTGTTGAAGGAGGGCTTCTTGGAAATGGGCTATGAGCTAGGCTTTCCTTCATGGATCCAGGAAGAGGGAAAAAGGTAACAAAAGGGGCCTCTCAGGTTCCTTCCTATTATATCATGTCTGGACCACCACTTGGTCTATGGGGTTGGGGGTGGATCGGTTCAAGGGGATGAGTACCTACTTGAAAGTTACCCCTTTTCCTATTTCCAGTGCAGAATCCAGATGGCTACCACTTGTTTCTGAGTTAGGCTCCTGACAGGGTATCCAATCAAGACCAGGAAAAACAAAGCACTGGGGATACAAGCACAACATAAGCTGAGCCATAACTTAGGCCCTAATTGTGGCCAGAAATCAATTAAAAACCCCGGCCAATTACTTGAGACTGGTGCATGTGCAAAGCAGCTGTCACTGGCTTCTGCTCTTCCCTCCCTGAAGAACAGGGCAAACACCGGCTTCCAGGCTTTTTCATTCTTGCTTATTAGCAAGGGAGGTAGATGGAGTCCTAGGCTCAAAGGACTGGCATTATCCAGGTTGCACCAGGAACAGGCAATCTGAAGGAATTGGCACCATGGACTAGCCATGAAATATTGGCGGCCTCCTGATGGAGTCTCAAATCTTCACGTGAAAGAGACTGTCTATCAACATTCCTGTGTTAACTCAACTGCTGGTCTACCCCCACTTGTTCTGTACCCTACTACCCTTTTTTCTCCTAAGTCCATTTAAAAAAACCAAAATCTTATTTTTTTATCCTGGCTGCATAGCAGTGACTTTTAAATATTTTCAAGGTGCCATGGCAGACCCCAAGGTTTGGTTACTTGGTCATATCTGTGCCAAGAGGCCAGTGGGACTCATTCTAGCCAGGGCTGGGGCAACCCTGTGGCTATGACTTCATATTCTATCATGTTTTGGACTCAGTCCAGGCAGAACCAAATGCTCTGCAAGGCCTATTCCCAACCCTTGGTCCCGAGCAAAGTCTCATTAACAATCCAGTACACTTGTTTTTTTGGATGCCTACATAACATTAGCTTTGACCCCTCACTGGTTGACATTCAAATTCAAATACTCAAATGACTGGGTTTTAAAACTTTGATTCTAAAAGAATTTGGATTATAACCTACAGAGATATCTATAGAGTATTGCTTCAGTCTAGAGCAATACTCAGAAAAGGTATGATATAGGGTAAGAAATTGGCTGTAGTCCTGGGTCTTAGCCTTGCCATTAACCAGCTGCTTGTGTACAATGAGGCAACTGGACTGGCTGGCCTGTCTCTAAGGTTATCTCCAGATCTATAACACTCTAAGTCCTTAACAGGGTCCTTGAGATGTTTATTTTAATCCAATTTCAGTCAGAAATGTTGAGGTGGGCACCAGCCTGCACTATAGCAGAGGACAGTTTTAAGACCCAAGGTGAAGAGAAGAAACTCTTTCGAGTCAGGAAGCCCCTATCTTAGCTCAAATGGCTGGCTGCCTATTTTTGGTTGGGAGCCAGTGAAGAAGGTAGTTATGGCCATTGATAGGAGGACGGGTATGGAAACTAGCTGGTTTTTGTTGTCATAGATTAAGTGTTGAAAGGGACCTGAGGTCACGTAGCCCAGAGGTGTCAAACTCACAGCTCCCTAGTGCTGCCTGAACCAGATTAAAATGTAATCGGGAAATGTTTAACAAAATAAATAAAAATACGACATAGTTAGTTTGTGGTTTTCTAAGTCACTATGTGTGGCCCACAGGGATCCATTTCGATTCGAGTTTGATACCACTGCTCTAGTTCAACCCTAATTCACAGATGCCCAAATGTCATCAATGTTGGAACAGGGGCCTAAACTCCTCTTCTGATTAAAAAGTTACACCTTCTTTCCATGGCAGCCCTGCCTTCCCCCCACCTCTGAGGCTCAGAAGTCTTTCCCACTCTATGGAAAAACACTGCAACAGATGAGGAAAAATAAAATGGGGAGAGAAGGCTGGAATGGGACTTCCCTTCCCCTTCTTCTGTAATAGCCAAACAGGGATAAATGATTCCCACCTGAAGGTATTTCTGAGGGTAGTGGGGTCTACAGGGACAGTGTGCAGGGAGAAAGGTTTTGTTTCTGCTGCTGGCTGGCCCCCTTGGTTCCTATGGTTTGTTTGTGAACTTTACCCATAAATTCCGCAGGAGAGGGTTAGGGAAGGGAGGGGGTCACTTTTATTGTCTGGCATAGTTATTTCAAGAGTTGTTGGACTCTCCACCCCCAGGAATATATGCAATAAGTTTCAGAATGAAAACGAATAAAGGCCAGGATGTACCTGAGCCAGAATGGAGGAGGCCTATCACGCAGCCTCCTCTAGATTCCCACTTCTAAGCCCCAGAAGTCATGTACCACCACTCAGGTCATTTCCGCAACAAAATGAAAAGTCTTCACAGCTTATTTCCTTTAATTACATCATAAAACAATATTAGAACATACATGAAACAATAATAGTTACATAACAATTTACTTTATATATATATATTTATATATATATATATATATAAAAAAAACCTTTTTTTTTTTTTTTTGCTTTTTGAAGTCCAAAGATTTCATCAGATGAAAGCAAAAGAAATACTCTATTGCAAACCCTGGATTTTCTTTTTTTTAATAACCCTCCCCCCAACCCTCAAACTCAAAATAACTGGGAGGAAAGAAACACAGCCATGTGCACAGCTAAAGGAATTTTGTGTTAAGTAAAAATTATCATTTTGGAAACCATGGCAGCCTCAACAACTGGTTAAGAATGTTTTGTGAATGTACCTGGAGGAGAAATATAATTAATTCGGCAGCAGCTCTGAGCACATGAAAAAACACTCTGGGTAAAGAAATCCATGGAATTTCAGGTGGCAGGAATGTCTGGAATCTGAATGCCATTGGGACCTGCTCTGTTTCCTTCCAATGGGGGAAAGAGGAGTACATTTGTGGGGGTGGGGGTGGTGGAAGAAGGTACTGAAACACATCTCGGTTTGCTGGAAACAAACTATTCTCCAACAGCACCATTTGTCCACCCTTTGCCCCAGAGGCAATACCCCAGCAGAATTTTGTAGGCCTCTGGGCCCTACACAAAAAGAAAGGCCGCTTAGTCTATGGCTCTTGGGGACACTATAAAACGGGCAAACATGAACAGAGCAGTTGGCTAGTGCAGAGTTGCCAGGCTGTTTGGGAACACCCTCCAGGAAGAGAAAAAATAAAGCCATAGCCATCTTTGGGAAGTTAAATGTGGTACAGTAATAAGCTGACACCACTGACATCCTCTTCTCACTTGCTCTTCCTTCCCAAGCGCCTTAAAGGAGGAGACGGAGGCTAGCTTACACTGTTCTCCTCAGGGCAGGAGACTTCAAGGAGCTGCTTTAGGTAGGTCTTGTAAACATGCCAGTTGGCTCATAAAGGACTCAGAGGTTAGTGTTTCATTGTCAGGGGAGATGTCAGGCTCTTCTCACCAAGCCTCCAGTCAGATAGAACAGCCAGTGATGCACAAAATAACTTATTTTTAAAGGAGGGATTGGCACGGGTATGAGGGCAGAGGTTTGGGAGAGAGGAAGAACATCCTAATACATAAACCCAGGAAAATAGCAGCAAAAGCTTTGCTCATTACAGTGTTATATAGCACTAGGGAAGAAAACAATCCAAATCTTTATTTTAAAAAGTACAACTGGTCAAACTGTGCCAGTCAGCTCTTGAAAGCAGGGGTTGTTAAGACTTTATTTTCTCATCCTCCAGTGCCTTAAAAAGTTAAGAGTAACAAGCATTATTTCAGGGGCCAAGAAATTAGGGCCGAGATAAGAAACACATATGTGTGTAGAGACACACCTACATGTACATGAGCAGCAGTTGTGTGGATTTCAGAGAAACAGTGTTGGTAGGCAAGAGAAGCTGCTGTGGGAGAAATGTTTGGGGCAGTTTTCTTCTGGGACAACCATATCTCATAAAGACTTCCAAAGGTCCTTAGAAGAAAGCATGGACGTGGTTTAAAAAAATCTTTCAGAAAGTGGCTTCTTCTGGATCACGTTGTGGATTGGCCAACCTATATTCTTCCAGGTCCCAACGGGGGAAGGTCCCAACTGCCACCTAACCAACACTTGCCCTAGCCCTGACTAAGCAGTCAGGTACCACTGGCAACTGTTTCACTGTACTAACTTTGACACAGCTGGGACTTAATAAGAACTTGTTCATGGGTTGGTTCTATTTTTAGATACAATATCCCAAAGAAGGGAAATGTCACTTGATTAGCAATCCCTTCCAACCTCCAACATATACTTCATACAGACTGAAGAGTCAAACCAAGGGGGAGAGAGAATGAAAATACTACTGTTCATTAACAACCTTAGCATGAAAAAGACAAAGCAGAGGGTGGAAGGGGAAGGGAATAATCATAAAGTAGGAAAATTATCTACAATTTGATGATACTGGGTGTTTCCAGGCCAGGAACTGACCCAAAGGGCAGATTCTCCTACCCTAAGGCAAGACACCCTAACAGTCATTTGCTTCTTTCTTAACTTAATGCTTCCCTGACCAAAACAAAACAAAAATAAACAAAAAACACAAATCCAAGGCAAAAGACCCCAGAAGCTTTTATCAAAAATGACCAGAAACCAAATTTTTACAGAATTTGAAAACTTGCATGGGCTTATCAATCCTAGTGGCCTCTCCACTGATGTGGCCAAGAAGACACAGTGGCTTGGTTGTTTTTTTGAAATGTGACTAATAAAGCCAGAAATGATAATAGCACAACTCTTTAATACCACATCTATGAGCAATTATAATGAAGCCTGTTCTGCTGAAATTTAAGTGGGACTCCACTGGGACACAACTATATTCACCCAAGTACAGCTTTGGGACTAGTTCCTGAAATTCCCAAGCAGTACAATAAGCCCCAAAGAGGAAGGACCTGAAAGAATCCCATGCTAAGAACTCATTCACTTCATAAGAATTTTTCTAGTTATATGGAAGGTAATCTATCAGAAATCAGAGGGCTGGGTGATGGCAGGTAGTTCTCAATTTATATTCTCCCTCTCACCCCTCCCTTGTAGAACCATAGGCTTTTAGGGCTCATCTACATAATTAATTATGCAAGTATATAGAGGTTAGCACTGATCTCTTCCTGAATTATCTGGGTAATACAACCTGGCCTTACCAGACTTATCAAGCTCACTATAAATTTAGTGACTGCAGCTGAGTGGAAAGTGGACCATTCACATCTGTCCTCTGCCCATTCCTATGGGGCTGTTGGACCTCACTGGTAAGTTCTACTCCAAGATCTACAACTCAAAAACATTTTACCTTTGCCTAAAGGTTCTGCTAATCAACAATTTTGAGGAAAATAAAGCACAACAGCTAGGAAGCAGACGGAGGAGAGAGACTAGAAAGTATTTTAGAAGCGCTTAGCACCCTATAGAACAGGTCTGTTATGAGGGTGGCACAATGGGAAAAGATATCCTCACTGAACTCCTCGTTCTATTCTTCAATAACTGAGGCAGCAGTAACAATATCTATTTTTTCCAATCTGTGTCCATGGTGGGGTAATTAACGATGGCGGTATGAGTAGTCTTGGGAAGCAGCAGCAGCTTAAAGATAGTGGACAGGGCTCAATCATAATGCATTAATAGCATCCCTCCTCCTCCCCCCCACCCCCCAAAAAAAACCTCTCCACAATTTTATTAAGAAATTTCCTTAACATGTTGTTGATATGGATAGGAAAACAGGATAAGGACACACATTCTCCCCATTCCAGCTTACAATAACCAAAAAGATGCTCTTCTCCCCTTCATTCAATTTCAAGGTACTTTTCTTTTTATGTCACCCCTAACCCTCTCCCTCAGTCCTACCATTGGTGCACTGAACAACTGGCAACAGTATCTTACAAGGCAATAAAAAAATATGGTTGCATTTTCTATATTTTAAGTTCTGGTTAATTTGGCATTATTATAGTTATACTTAAATGTTCAGTGAGGGACACAATCTGGATGAAGACTGCATAAAAAGTATTTTGCAGATATCTCTCCAGAATATATAATTAAAGGAATATGTAACAAGTTTCTGACTTGTATCTGATTAAAAATTAGTCTATAACAGATATGGAGATTATTGGAAATTTACAAAGATCATTTAAGAGTCTCTTTAAAATAGCTGTAGGCTCCCAAAATATGTTAGAGATGAAATTAGAAAATTAGAAAAGAAAAAATGTACAAAGAGAAATATGAGCACAATGTACTTTCATATTCATCATAGCCCCAATACTGGGGGAAAAAAAAGATTGAAGTCAGAACCCTTTTCTCCTAGGATACATCCAGCAAACAGTTTGCTTTCAAGCTTATTTCAGCTCAATAAACAAACTTCAGACCTAGTGACAAATGGTCTGACTCACCAGAGAATGGCAGAACTCAAGGCTGATTGAGCATTTTTTTTTGCTACACACGAGCATTACTAGGAGGGAAAGGCATCGGAGACATCTAATATAACCTTAGCATTTTTGGGACGAGGCAGAGGCTTTATTTAAAGGGTAAAGAGGGACATCTGTTAAAAAAAAGTCTCGAGAGGATAAAGTGTAGAAATAAAATAAAATCAGGAAAAGCAAGCATTATTGGTTGAAGTTTGAAGAGACAGAAAGAATGTTCAGAAAATTGATGACTGACATTCAAGAATTCACTTCAGTTGGCATAGCACCAATGTCCCCTGGCTTGTGGTAACTAGTTGGATAGGGCTGTTTACCTCCTCTTTTTTTAATCTTGAAACCATTTCTGTAAAGAAACTCTCAAGTTACGTAGACCCCATTTTCTCTACTATAGGTGACACATCATATAGTGACAAAAAAAACAAGCAAATGCACTTTAAAGAGGGAGAAGTATTTGATTTAGGAAAGACCTCTTAAGATCACAGCTGTTGACAGGATTGTAGATATGGATAAATGGGGAGAACAATAATCTCAAGCTTCTTTCCATTCAACATAATAAGATCACTACATCTTATGTTTCTGGAAGCTACAATAGTCTTCTCCAAGGAAAATCTTTTAGGGCTTAGTTTGAATGAAGGCAAGGGGGATTTTCTCTAACAACAATGAAGCATTCTAATGAGAATCCTTTCCAAGCTTCAAAGGATCACAGTTTGTCATCAGAAATAAATAAATCCTAACATTAAATCCTAATGCTTAGAGCATGAAATTAAATTGGCCAATGCAACCCATTTCACAGACTTAATGTATCAGAAGCTTCATTCTCTTCCTCATGATTTCTAAAACACCAGCACTCTTCTTTCTATAGCATGGATTACCAGGTCAGGCCAGATCAGTTCTAATCTGCATCTGGGTCAGATCTCTATACTTTTAGAAATCAAGTCTCCAATAAAATACTAAATAGGAGAAGCTGTGTCCTTGAAAAGAAATAATTTTGATTTTTGGGAAAGGCATTTCAAATTGACATCTGTTTACTATAGGCATTGGAAGGCCTATAAAAGTCCACTGCTGCCACCTACTTCCTTCTCCTCTCCTCCCCAAGTGAATTGGCAAAGAATTTTAGGATCAGCCTGCCAGATCTGAACAGCATGCATTTTTCTGGAGGGAAAAAAAGGCCCTGAATTACTCTCCAGCATCCCCTTCCCCATTACACTTTTCAAAATTTAATACAAATTATCAGCTATGGTATCAAAACTTAACCTCCTGGATCAGTCTCTTTCCAAAGTTGTTAAGGTTTGTTATATTTTTTTAGGTATTTCCAAAATTAGGAACTGGGAAGGAGAAAAAGTTCTTTGTGGTTTTGAGCACAGTGAGTTCAAGACCAAAATTAAACACAATAAATGGTAGGCAGTGTCATAGGCTCCTTCCCAGCACTCTCTCATCTGCTGAAGTCTTTCTAATTAATGAAGAAACAAGCCAAGCTAATTCCAACATATGCTGGTGGTCTTAGGAGAGGGAGCCATCACCTGTAATTTGAAAAATGACCTTTGGAGTTGCTTAGATCAGTCAGAAAGTGACAAAAGGTTACCTTAACCATATAAATAAACTCCTATCAAACAACAAAAAGCTCCAACTCTGGAGGCCTAGAAATCTGTTACTTGTGCTTTAGAAAATCATCTCATTTTTCCTAATTCACTCCAAAAACCTTCCTCCCTCAGTTCTCAAGTACTGAAGTACATGCGGAGACAAGGACCACCTTCATCTGCACTTATTATCTTAGGCCTTCTGGGGGCTGCTCCCGATATCCTCCAGGATCCAATCCCACCGGTTTATGCTTACGCTGAATATCTGAAGTGCATCGACAAGACTGGGTAAGTGACTTCTTTGGGAAGGTTTTGCTGGTCCTTTGAACGACCAACATTAGACCTGAAATTGATGACCCTAAATACAACAGCCACACACTACCATAAGGTTCAGGTTGGTGTAGGAAGAAGGGGAGGAACACATAATAAAAACTGGCAGCACAGACAGCAATGTGTTTCATCTAAGTATTCTTCCTGAGACAAAACACTTAGCCAACAAAGTTAGCAATGCTGTTGAGCGTACATAAATCTCAGTTCACAGCATGAGATTCAAAAAGGGGTCAGGGGTTTTCAGACTGAGGTTTGGTATTTTTCCCAATCAATTCTGCTTAAAAAATGCTGCTCTCTCATGCCTTATGTAAGACACTCAACTGATTATCAGGATTCAACTCAAGGAAACATAGGGAGCATGATGATATTGAGCACAGCCACCTGTATTATCATGTCACAAGCTATGTTCTTTTCTTAAGGAAGAACTCAAAAGGCAAAAATATGAATTGTTTCCATAAGAGAGGGGCAAGAGCTCATATTTAGCTCATTTTCCCTCACCTGCTCTTTAGAGCTTCTCATCAGACTGAACCTTAGGCAGTCTTTCTAATGATAAAAAAGTGGAATTTTAAAATATTTTTACTAATAATTAATAACTTTTCTTTAAAAAGTATCCAGTAGCCTCAACTAAATCACCCCAAATGGAAAACTTTAAATAAGAAGACAGCAAAAGAGACAAAGGATGAGCAGGCGACAGAGAGTGCTTCAGCAAGCAACACAAAGAGAAAATGAGACACAGACACAAACACACTCAAAGACAGCTAGGGAGAACAACACAATGAATCAGTGAACAAAAGAAACAAATTTGGATATCAGAGATTTCAAGTTAAATCACTGTGACCATCTAGGAAATCTCTGAATTGAATGCTCTGACTGATGAGCATGCTCAGCATGTTGGTATGGAAACAAGGAAGTAGAGAAGCACTGTAATACAGTCTCATGAATGGTTGCCATCTTCATTCTCTTATGGGAGGAAGGATTTTTCTTTCTTTCTGGTCCCTGGTTGCAACATTTACTGTATTTGTCCATACTCTCCTTCCCTTTGGAGAGCTCTCATTAGTGTTCTGACATCCCCAAAAGAAACCTCAAACAAAAAGAACAAACAAACCCCAGCAGCAGTGACCCTGGGTTTGCGGGAATGCCCCCCACCTTGGATTCTGATTCTCTTCTGAGCATGCCCAGTAGGAATGGTTTCAAGTTACACCAATCTACCTGTCAGAAAAAAGCCAACACAGATTCAAGTCCCACTGTCACAGAGTACGTCAGCTGGAGTGGACGGTGTGGGTATATACGCATGTGTATGTGTGGCTTGGGGGATCCGGACACAGCCCTCTATTCTGGCCCTTGCTCAGAACACTGGGGTCGATTCCGCTGGAGAGACTCCGTGGTAACTCTAGAAGTGTCATTAAATACTTAGTTCACCAAGGCTGATCGCCTCCAACGTCATAGTATGATGCAGCATCTGCAGAAGCGCTGTCTGCTGCCCCCTACTGATGGAGGCGGAGTGACGGGTGCAAAGTAGGCATGAACTTTTATATTGGGTAAATGGGTCTGAAACAAGATAGAAACATTACCAAGGACTGCAAAGACATGATCTGCAAAGACATGATCTGCAAACATAACCAAGCTTACCTAATTTCACTGAGTCTCAGTATCTATATCAATAAAATAAGGAGACTTAACAGAATACTCAAGCCCACACTAAAGAGATAGCTAGAGTATAAACAAGCAATTTGGAAGAAATTAAACATGGGAAGTTAACACATAATTATTGTTACAAATATATTAAAATGCCACACAAATACTGTAGGCAAGAGATTTTTTCCCTGAAGCTATAACTGTCATTTTGGAAGGGTGTTTACATTATGCACGTGGGCAGTAAATAATAAAATATTTTGGCTGGCCCCTGGCATTCCTTTTCTCTTGGCTGAAAGAGGAACATGCAATTGCAATTGTACTTCTCAAATAGAAATTACCTGAATCAAGTGCATGTTCTTAGCCCATCAAGTCTGAGAAGAGAGATGGGCAGGTTAAGCACTCTCTGAAGGATAATGCTATGCTCTTGATGAAGTATTGGGCTACTTTTTATTGGATGAGTGCTAATAAGTCAACCTGGAATGGCTCCAGGGTTACAAACCTTCTCCTCTATCCTCAATCTCCCCTCCCTCTATCCAATCCTCACAGTAAATGACCTTAATTTCTATTTCCCTAAAGAGATTAAAGTCATTACCACTGAATGATTCCTAATGCCAGGAATACTTTTCCCTCTGCATCCCAAAATCTGACATTTAAAATCTTACTCATCTTTTAAGCCCTAGTTTAAATGTTACCTCCTCTATGAAGTCTTCCCTGATGTCCTTGTTAGAACTTACCTCACACACTGAATAAGGAATAAGGACAAAATGTTATTTTGTATTAGTTATTTAACATACATGTTAATATTTGTACTGTCTCCCTCTATTAGACTGTAAACTCCACAAAGCTACTATCTGTTATCTACTCTGTAGCACCTAGTGCAGTGCTCTGCAAATAGATAGCGCTTAATATATGCTTGTCATTGCTGTAAGGGGGTGAAACAATTCTCAAACTCAATACAGGAAAATAACTAAATTCTCAAACTCAACACAGGGAAATCTTTTTGATGTACTATTTCTCTCTCACAAATCACCAAACTTTTATGGTCTTGGAGCAGAAATCTCAACTGGACAGCCTGCTAGGGATGCACTCTCTTCATGTCCTCTCCTCCTCACAGATCTATGTTAAAATATAAATCCGAATCTGTAGAAACACTTAACATGGTAATGATAACCATAGTTTTGAGAGTGATACTGCTGCCTCTTACCCTGAGTCTCTTGATTCCAGCCCGGGTGATTTGCTGACAGTCATACAATTCTATCCTCTCAAGACTATGGCAGCTCTTCAGGTGCTCCAGGGATGCATCTGTGATAAGTGGACAATTGTCCAGCTCAATCACCTCCAGCTGGTCATGGGCACAGGCTCCATTCCCTAGGTGACGGATTCCATCGTCTGTAATCAGCTCACAATGAGACAGACTCTAGAGCCAAAAAGAACATGAAGAGGGCTGGAGTAATTCATGAGCACTACATGGAATTCAAAAAGATCTTATTTTAGGGTACTGAGAATATACTGTGAAGATACCTGATAATAGTCAGTCCATGAATTAAGAAAAGGCATTCCACAAAAGGTCTTCTGTTTCCCAGAGCAAATTAAGCCTGACCTTTTCTTAAGCTCAGGCACTTCTTGAGAATTAGTACTAAATTCTGGGTACCTGCTACAGCATCACATATATAGTAGGTACCAAGTGATGACAATTTCTATACTTAATACCTCTATTTGGGCATTTCTTTATATATGAGGTTAATTTTAAAGTTTCCTTTTTGCTTTACCACTAATAATAAGCCTTTTCTCCTTTCTTTCATGGCCTTTTCAACTCTCTCCTTCCCACCCCACACCCCAATCTTCGATTTCTCTTAAATCGCTGGTTCTTTCTATCTCTCAAGGATTTCCACGTGAAGTTCAGAATCCTAAAGATTTCCCACTTTGGGAAATGCAAACACACCAAAAATGAACTTGAACACAGTACTGATGGCTAGGTTGCCTTCAGTACTACTGGAAACCGCAGTGAGGAAAGCTTCTCCAGCAAGCCTTCCTTTGTTCTTTCTTGCAGGTACATCTGGCCTGGAGGTGAGAAGCAATCTATGTTCAAGCTGTCTCACGCCCGAGCTGCTGAAGATTTAAACATCATGCACACTGGAGTGTAATTCGCAGAGGGCATCTTAGCTTCTCCACGCCAGTTATTTCAGTCTCCAAGCGTTGGTTCGGGATATGTTTAACTCTTCCAGCTCCTACCTTATCTTCCCCTTCACTTAGGTCCTTCCCTGGTACTCTGTAGGCAATTCGGAGAAAAAAAAACCCTTTCCAAAAATGCAGCTAATCATACATCATTCTCATGAAAGTGAATTCACGGTACTGGTCCTGAAGAAAAGACTAAAATATAAATAGTGACGAAGATAAAACTCACCAACACCTGAAGTCTTGGACAGTGTATAGAGAGCTGAATTAATGTGCTATCTGTTATCTGAAAGAAACATATGAAGAAGTCTTTCTTAGGATTCTTTCTTTTTAAATCACCAAGCATTGAGCTTTCACTGGGGACATGTTCTGTGGGGACACAGATGAACAACAATACAAAGATAAAATGAAAGGGCCTTTGCGCTCAAAGAGCTTACATTCAATTGGGGAAGAACATGTACATACAAAATTGAGTAAAAAATATATGCAGATTAATTTCAGTAATGGGTGTGGGGAGTGGGGCATTAGTCCAATAGGAAGAGTCCAATCCCCAGTGGGCATGTGTGGTAAAGGGTGCCAGTAGGGACAGAGCTGACAGTGACAGGCACAAAGAAACAGAGAGTGATGGGGAAGGCAGTCTGTGACTCTCTTACAGGGTTGTCAGTGGAAGACATTAGGTGGTTATACCCTTTACCCTTCACAGCAGCTATGATAATACTAATTTAAATATTAACCCTTGATCAAAAGGTTAAAAAGACAGGGGAGGGGATAACAAATGATAAATCCCTTGCTGTGTCTGGTGAAGCAGAGGGAGGTAGACTTGTAGTGCTCATCCTACAGTTTAGGCTTCTTTCCAAGTAGGACAATGAGCCTTGCTGAGGTTTCATTTTTGGCTGCTCTAAGGAGTGAATGGTGACTCCATGATCAAAAAAAGTGACTTGGAAACATTCATGCGTCTTGAGCTATTTGGCCTATTGGCAGAAAGGTTACATACAGGAATATTCCATGGTTTAAATAGTTATTACTCTCTCTAAATGGCTAGGAAGCAGTATTAGCAATTGATCCAGATTAAGGTGCTGTCTTGGGAGAATGGTGAGGCAAAATGGAGTCCTGTCACTATTTTGGAAATGAATAGCTTAAAATATTACAAACTTAGAATTAGAAGGGACCTATGTTAAATAAATTCTCCAAATGAATGAGATAATTCTTTGAAATTCTTTACCACACATGCCAATTTGCAAAAGCTAAAAATGTCCATAAATAGTTCCTATTCCCAAATTACTTTAAAAAAATTATATTTTATCTTCTTAATTTACCATTCTGATCATATCACTCTTCTCTCTACCAAAGACCTTCCAAGGTTTTCTAATACAGTACTTACTGAATAAAGCATAAACTCTTGATTCTGGTATTCAAGGACCTCCATGACATGGCTCCAGCCTCTCTTCCCAGCTTATCTTTCTCTCCTCTCCCCTTCCACACAAAATGGACTTCATTATCTGTTCTTGGCCCTCTTGTCTCCTAAGTCAATGTGGGGATGTTTACATTCCTTTGGTTCAAGGTCTAACTCAAATGTTACCTACTCTATGAAGCTTTCTCTGACTGCCTTTTCCAGATTAATCTTTTCTCTCTTTACTAACTTCTCATGTTATCAGTTTATACCTGGCACTTGTCCTTCACACTTATCACATCGACTTTCCTATTACAGTTACATCTGTGGTTCTATATGGATTTGAAACTTTGCACACGTTCTGAGGTTCCCAAATGCTTGCTGAATAAAATATGGTTTCTGGAGCACAAAAAAAGCATTTACCTCATAGTTTCTTCTTCTTACTTTAACTGCTCTTTCTATTCCCACCCTCTTTTCCTCCTCAATCTTCCTGCAAAGTTCAACCTGTGATTTCATCAAAGTGGGCAATTCCCAGTGTGCAAATTCCCTCCCATGATTCAGATCAGCAATTATCTGTAACTATTCTATAAGGTTAAGTGACTTGTTCGAAGGCGTAAGCCAGTGTGTCTAAGTCATGGTTCTAAATCCAGATCCTTCTGATTCCACCGCTGGCCCTTCTATCCATTCATTAGGTCATCCTGTCTCTACTCCATCTATTAATGACCACGAGACTCTTGAATTAAATAAAGTATGTTCCTATCACTGTTTGTGTGCATGGGGACCTAGAAAGATAAGGAAATCCTGACACTGGAGTAGCATTCTCTACAGTCTCAGATGTTTAGGACTTGGGCTCCCCTGAAGCTTGGAAAGGTCAGAACACATATAATAAGAATTTCTTTCCTCAATAAAACCTTCAAACAAGTTTAGACATTTTTAAAAAGGTATGTTTTGGACATTCCTTATGCTCATCACAGTATTTTTGCAAAATTATAGCATTCCAGATAATGGTTCAAAGTGTTGGAGCTCCTATCATCTTACCTGAACACATTCTTCTAGGTCCATTTTTTCTAGTTCATGGCAATTCTGTAAAGTGTAAACAAAATATGAGAACATGAAAAAAAAACTCTGCAGAATCCAAAGAATCTCAGAGATGATGTCATTCTAATGTCATCCTTATAGTTCAATTATTTTGATTTTGTATTTTGGAGAACACTGATGTAAACAGGAGTCCTCAAATGTCTCAGCACTGAATAATTTACCAGTTCTAAGTCAGTCAGTCAACAAGCATTTATTAAGTGCCTACTATGTACCAAGAAAGGTGCTAAGCACTGGAGACATAACAAAAGGCAAAAACATAGTCCAGAGGCAACTAGTGAAAAGGCAGAGCTGGAAAATGGAATGTTGAGTGTGAGGGAAAATGGAATGTTGAGTGTGAGGGAAAACAACAAGGCCAGTGTCATGGGGTTATATAGACTAAGTGGAGAAGAGTAAAGTGTAGGAAGAAACCAGGTTATGAAGAGCTTTAAAAGGCAAAGGATTTTATATTTGAGCCTGGAGGCAAAAAGGAGCCAGCAAAGTTTACTAATAGAAGAGTGACATGATCAGACCCACATTTTAGGAAAATTCTTTGGTATATGAGCAGATGATGGACTGTAGAAAGGAGAGACTCGAGACAAGGAAGCCCACTAAAAGGCCACTGTAATCATCCATATGAGAAGTGATGAGGGCCTGTACAAGGGTGGCAGCTGGTTGGGGAGAAGGGGACATGTGAGAGACATTCTTCAGACAGAAAGAAATGACAAGATTTGGCAAGAGTGTATATGTAAAGTGAGTGTGAGTCAAGGACAACAGTGAGGTTGTGAATCTGGGTAACTAGGAGGATGGTGGAGTCCTTGATAGTAACAGATAAGTTCAGAAGAGGGGAAAGCTTTCAGGGAAGGACAATGAGTTCAGTTTTGGACATGCTGAGTTTGAGATGTCTACTGGACATACAGTTTGAGGTGTCTAATAGGCAAGAGTGATGCAAAGAGGTCAAGAGAGAAATCAGAGTTAGACAGATTGACCTGATAATTATCTGCATAGACACACAAAAACTGAAGGGAGCTGATGAGATCACCAAGTTAGAAAGTATAGAGGGGCAGCTAGGTGGCGCAATGGATAGACTGCTGGCCCTGGAGTCAGGAGGACCTAGTTCAATTTGGCCTCAGACACTTACTAGTTGTGCGACCCAGGGCAAGTCACTTAACCCCCAATCCTTCCCTCCAAAAAAGAAACCAGATGATTTTTAAAAAAATATGTTTTTAGGGGCAGCTAGGTGGAGCAGTGGATAGAGTACCGGCCCTGCAGTCAGGAGGACCTGAGTTCAAATCCGGCCTCTGATCAAACACTTGACACCTACTAGCTATGTGACCCTGGGCAAGACATTTAACCCCAAGTGCCTCAGGTTTAAAAGAAAATAGGTTACCAGGAGAAGAAGTGTCCAAGACAGAGCCCTGGGGGACATACCACAGTTTGGGGACATTGGTGAAGGAAGATCCAACAAAGGAGACTAAAAAAAAGCAATAAGACAAGTAGAAGAACAGGAGAGAACAGTGCCACAAAACCTGGAAGAAGAGAGTATTCAGGAGAAGAAGATGATGGACAGTGTCAAAGGCAGCAGAGTGATGAAGAACGATGAGGATGGAGAAAAGGCCATTAAATTTAGCCATTAAGAGATCACCAGTAACTGTGGAAAGATAAGGTCAGAAGCCAAACTGCAGAAAAGAGTAAGAGGAAACACTGATTACAGAAGGCTTTCTCAAGGAATTTAGCCATGAAAGGGAGGAGAGATATAAGAAGATAGTTGGAAGGGATAGTCAGATCAAGTGAGAATTTTTAAGGATAGGAGAAACATGAGCAGCAAGGAAACAGTAGACAGGGAGAGATCAAAGATTAGCGAGATGGGGAAGATGATAAAGGGGGCAATCTGGTAGAAAGTACAGGATGTATGGGATAAAATAGTTGAACATGGAAAATTTTGCTAATAAATTCTTTCAAGCACAAAGAATTCTATAAAAATTATTTCCTTGGAGGTAGGCATGAATGTCTTATTTTTAGTGCTTTTCTATTAAATTTTAGATATGCTATATCCTAAGTCACATTCTAATGCTGTTCCTAAAAGTCATGTCCCTTCCCACAAGCCATTATGCTAGTCAAAGGCATTCTGGTTTTACAGAATCATCATACTTATAAAGCATTCCAAGATGGCAAAGTACAGAATAGCTAAAAAGTCTTCCTATTTTAAAGTCTAATATTTCTTTTAGCACTCAACTTACATTACAAACACTGAGACAACCAAATTAGGTTTCCATTTCTCTTACTTCAAGAATCTGTGATTTCATTGGTGTGGGTACTTCCTCCACCTATGAAGATTGCAACCCCTCTCTATTTTAGTACAGAGATCTCCAAAGTGGGGCTGTGGAACACCTAAAGGGGTAACCAATCAGAGGGTTCAAAGATGGGTCCAATCCCACCCTCTCCCCACGAGCTAATCATGGGATTTGTCTCCAATAATCATACCCCTCACCCATAAACAGCAAGCAACTTTCCCCTACTCCATCCCTCCCACAGTAGGCCTCATGTAGCCTCCAGTTTCTCGCTTTCTGCAACAGCCTCTTTATGACCTAAACATAACCAGCACCCCACATTAACAGCTACAAAGGCTAAAAACATCACACCTCTCCTATCTCCCTCACCAGTATAGCCACACCTAGCTCCTTTATCAATCCATGGTTGTGGCAGGTACCCCAAGGAGGGTTCTGTGAGGAGGGGCAATGGCTAGTAAGAACAACTTCCCCACCCCTAGTTTTGTTTTCACTGGAACAGAATAAGCTACACAGATTAAGAGGCCATGGACGGGTTACAATGGGCATTGTATCCTTCCTGTCTCCCAGGTTCTCAAACTTCTCATTATTCTTACAATCCAAGTATGCCCCCTATTAAAACACTCTTAACTTCACACTTAGATAGATCTAATTTTCCAACGCATATAAAATGTCTTCCAAATAAAGAGTTTCAGTGGGTTTTGAACCCATTTATTAAAAATAAAACATTACCACATGTTTCAATAGCTTAGTAGAAATACCATTAATATTTTGCTAAGAGCAAAAACAATTTCTATACCATTAACTAGTATTATTTTCAAAATATTTTATCCTTATACAGTAGTACACATAAAAGACTTATAAATAATAAATATTCACATATTGGGAGTATGATTTTAAACTGCTTCTTTAAACAGGTCTTCATAAATAGCTGTGCCTTAAAAGAACGTAGCCCTCGGTGACAAATCCAATGATTGATCAATCTTTCCGAACATAGAATGAACCTCAAACAGGGAGGTTCTTTGAGGGCTGGCAAAGCTCATGAACCTAGTTTCACTTCTACACCATAATGAGCTGTTTTTCTTAGAAAATATAGAAAGGCCTCAGTAAGTACAGTTAAAACTTATGAAATTATAGGGAACAGGTTTGCTGAATCAGATCACAAGAAAGCTTTTCATGGTCACACACTGCATTTCTGAAGTTGTGGAGTAGTGACACAAGTGAACTGAAACAGGAAGTTGTGGAGCTGTACCTTGGCTTTGACAGAAATTGGAAGGATTCTTCCCCTCCCTCTAAAATTAATATGCAAAACAAATCTTAAAACAGAGACTAATGACAATACTCACCCTCGCCAGAGTAGTGAAGCCCACATCTGTTAGCTGAGAACACCTTGCCACTTCTAATATTCTGTCCAAAAAGGAAAAAACAAAACAGAGGAAAGTGGGAAAATTAAGGTATTTGACTACTAAAAGCTATGACTTATAAAATCCACGTGGAAGGAAAACAACCTCCTACATCTTTAGGGTGATTTAACATAGAATATTCATAATCAAGCATTTCTATATATAGATTACTCCACCAAGTCAGTGCTCTTCCTACTACACCAGATTGCTTCTTCACTAAGACACAACCACTAAAAGCTACTTGTTTGAATTACAAAGCCACTTCTCATTCCCAATCCCCAATTGCTACAGATCTTGAAGCCTAATACTCTGCCAAAAGCAGGCTCCCATAGATGCAAATTTCCTCAAACACAGATCCTCAGCAGGGAAAAGAGAGTAAAATTGCTGCACCCCTATTGTACTCCTTCCCCCAAGAAACTTAGTAGTCAGCCCCTGCTCCCCCCCAGCCTCACAATCCTAAAGCAGTTAAAAAGCAGCTTTCCCTTGTTAAGCAGAGGCTGAGAATCCCAATATTAAAATCAAGGCTGCTGGAAATAGCTACCACTGTAGCCTATATCATTATCTGTTTAAATAGGCTAGGAAAGTTAAAAATCAAGTACCAGAAAGTTATTGCCAATGAAAATAAATCAGAAACCAAAACAGTGTCTCTGATATTATAACATCAACATGTAGAAGGAAAACAAGATTTGATATAAACAAAATTTTCCACAACTATATGTATATTAAACTCTTTTATTATGCCAATTGTCAGGTTACATGAAAATTAATTTTTTAAAAAAATGAAAAGTCACACACTAACACCTAAAGTTCATTTTTTTTTTATTATGAGCTATCTATTTTTCCTCCCCTATATCTATCAAATAACGCTTGTCATAAAACATATAAAGGGCTGGCCAATGAACTGTTTCGAATCTACATTTTTGAGCTCCTCTAGAAAACTGCTTTAGCGTGCTTAAGAGAGTAGTTTTTTATCAGAAAGGTTTGGAAGTCCCCTATTTCATTGAATATCCATCTCCTCCCCTGAAAGATCATGCTCATTTTCACTGGGTAGTTGATCCTTGGTTGTAATCCAAGCTCCTTTGCCTTACAGAATATCATATTCCATGCCCTATGGTCTTTTAATGTAGAAGCTGCAAGGTCCTGGGTAGTCCTGACTGTCGTTCCATGATATTTAAACTGCTTCTTTCTGGCTGCTGCTTGCAGTATTTTCGCTTTGACCTGGTAATTTTGGAATTTGGTTACTATATTCCTTGGCGTTTTCAATTTGGGATCTCTTTCAGGAGGTGATAGGTGGATTCTTTCTATGACTATTTTACCCTCTGGTTCTAGGACCTCAGGGCAATTTTCCTGAATGATACTGTCCAGGCTCTTTTTTTCATAGTGATTTTCAAGGAGACCAATAATTTTTAAATTGTCTCTCCTGGATCAATTTTCCAGGTCAGTTGTTTTACCAATGAGGTATTTTAATTTTTATCTATTTTTTCATTCTTTTGTTTTTGTCTGACTGATTCTTGCTCTCTCATAGAGTCATTAGCTTCCATTTGCCCAATTCTAATTTTTAACAAATTGTTTTCTTCTATTAGATTTTGTACCTCCTTCTCCATTTGGCCAATTATATTTTTTAGGGACTTGTTTTTCTTTAGTGTAATTTTTTTCCAGTTGGCCAAGTGTATTTTTTAAGGACCTGTTAATCTTTGTTCTTCCTTTTCCAAGCTACTGATTCTCTTGCATACCTCTCATTTCTTTTCCAATTTTTTCTTCTAACTCTCTCATTTGACTTTTAAAAAATCTTTTTTGAGCTCTTCTAAGAAGGCTTTTTGGGCTTCAGACCAGTTCATATTCCCTTTTGAGGTTCCAGATGTGAGTTTGTTGACAATGTTGTCCTCTTCAGAATTTCTGCTTTGATCTTCACTGGTCCTATAATAAGAATCTATCGTATGTTTCTTCCTGCCCACGGTGTTTGCTTATTTCCTCACCTTTAAAGAGTTTAAGCTCTCCTGCTGGGGAGCAGAGGGCACCGACTAAAGTGTCCTGTGTTGGGAGCCTAGGGCCTAGTCACTGGTCCTGTGTGCTGGGGCCTCCAATGCTGGCAGCTGGAGGCTGCAGGGTATGGGCAGCCCACCTGGTGTTGGGCTGGAATTAGCAACACTGGAAGTCCAGCGGTAGGACTGTGTAGTGTGGTTCCGGGAAATCTCCTGCTCATCCGGGCCTTTCCCACTTTTCCATTTCTTTAGCTCCTTTCAGATGGATGTTGCAGGGGGTTTATCTGCCTGGGGCCTCTTGGAGCTCTGCTTCCCCTAGTTTTGCTGAGGCAGTGGGAGAGCCTGTTGCTATAGCATACTACCGTCTGACTTGAAGCTGGGCATCTGGCCTTATTTGTATGACTATTACATATTCTCATAAGTATACCAGTGGGAAACAGGATGAAGGGAAGGAAAATCAAAACTCTGGATTGACTACAGCAAGGCTTTTATTAACCCATCAGAGAATTAATTTTATGTCTTGACTTCTTTCTTGTGGAAAGGAACAAGAAGATGACTTTATTAGAAGAAGATATGAAGATAATTCTCCTCTTCTAACTGGTCACAAGTCAAATATGGTAAAAAATAATAGATGGCTAGTTATGGAAAAGAAACTCTGCCTCAAAACTTTTATCTTAGAACTTTGGGATGCCAAAAATAAAGAAATACAGTTTCTGTTTTTTGGCAAAGGATGGGATACTCACCTAAGCCGAGGGCAGTTTTGACCCAGGGCATTCAGAATTGCATCTGTGATATTGGAGCAGCCAGAAGCACACAGAGATTGCAATTTGTGGCAGCCTCTGCATATTGTAATGAGACCATCATCTGTGATTTGCTAAGACAAAAAGTAAAATCTTAGGTATTACTCAAAGAAGGGAAAAGCCATAAAAATAAACATTAACCGTATATACACAGGACCTAAAAGAATTCAGATCAAGTACAATGCAGCCAATGGGCCTCAACTAATTTAACATAATGTCTATTCTTTCCAGTTCCATTTACTTTGGGTTGTATGAGAAGTTGTTTGTGGAATAACTCAACAATTGCAGTTATTCCACAAAGGAAATTGTTACTAGATACTGTATAATTTTAATGTAGAATCAGAGAATAGGATAGGAGGACGTCGTGATTTAGGATGCTAGAAGACTGGTGTTCTCATTCCAACTCTAATCAACAACATGACTCCAGCTAAACTACTTAACCATTTTGCCTCGATTTAGCCTCCCTTGTAAAAGGAGTCTCTGATCTACCTACCTCATATAAAGAATTTGTTATGAGGGGGGGGAAATGACAAATCAGGTTAATGTTAAAAAGTAGTACATAAATACAAAACTTTATTATTAGATTCTGATAATAACAGATTATATTAGATTCTGATGGTTAAAGGGGGGAAATGTGTTGGTGGGACAAGTGAACACTTAGCAGACCAAATGGAATTTCTGTTATATGACTTTGAAAAGTAATGGCTGATTTCTGAGAGCTGATACTGAAACCCTCCCCTGCCCCCAACTTAAATTGAGAACCAGGGTACAATGTCTACTGAATATTTCAAAGACTGACAGATATGGCAGTTAGTTTGGTTTAACTTTTTCTCCCCTCTTCTTATGGGACAGAGGAAGGCTCAACTGAAGGAGAGCAGTAGTATACTGGCAGGAAAAAAGTATGTAAAAACCAGAGGTATTAATGTAACTCAAAAACAGAAAACTAATTGCAAGGATGTACAATTTTCTTTGTCTTTCAAAAACTGCTAGAGATGAGAAAACTACATAGGAGAACAGATGTGTCAATTATTCATTTGCTTTGATGTTGAAATTTACTCAAATTCTGACTTGTCAAATTATTCAAGAAAAGCATGAGTCAGCAATATAGTAAAGTTTCTTCCATGTTAAAATAAATAGAAAGGTTGGGCAACATCCTAGAAATTCATCATGAGTACAGATTCTGATAAGACATTTCTCCTTATTTTTTTGGTTTGTTTTTTGCAAAGCAACTGGGGTTAAATGACTTGCCCAGAGTCATACAGCAAGTAAGTGTCAAATGGTGAGGCCACACTTTAACTCGGGTCCTCCTGATTCCAGGGCCAGTGCTCTATCCACTATATCACCTAGCTGCCCCCATTTTCTCAGATTTTTAGGGATGGATTCTGTATTAGAAAATGGATGTGGGAACAGAACATACAAGAAGTAACATGAACACTACCTGTTCATTAATCTCTACCAATCCTCTACCTACTGCACCAACTACTGTCCCAACAACTTCCTGATTTAAAAAAATAACTTTTCTTCTTCAGAAAGAAAATTCATTATTTAAAAGTGTCCAAGAAAAAGTCGTATAATAAAGTTGGGGCAGACAAGCCAGAATGATTAAAATTTCTAACCCCATTAGTTAGGCAAGGGGGTAAGAAGAACAGCAAAATCCCTAGCTTCAACTCAATCTAGAGCTATGTTGGAGCTTTCCAAAGGCATTCATTTTTAGTTCTTCTGGCTGAAGGAAAGGAATGTTGGCATTGGCTATGATAGCATTCTTCAGCAGAAGAAGGAAAAAGGCAGAAGATAAAAAAGAGAAGAGATTTACAAAGGCAAAAAGAAAGATTTCTAAGACAGCAGTTGTAGCATTTTCATCCATCCATGAGATAAATGGCAAAGGGAGAAGAAATTTGACTACAAGGGAACTTTTTGGGCAGCATATGCCATCCTAAACACACTTATAAAGTTTATATGTAAAAACGTTATTTTTAACTTGCCAGTTACTTGCCAGTCCTGCTAATAAGCAAGATTATCATCAATAACCACAACTTTGGGAGTTCTTCATCTTAACAGTAACAATCCCAAAGATCAGAAGGTGGGTTATATATTCTGTCCTCAAGTTTACGACTGGACTATAGTTCAAAACAACCCATGGAGAAAGAGAACAACAGGTTGAAGATGTAGCATACCAAAACTTCTTTTGAGGTTAGAGGTTCTAGTCTCCCCAGGGCCATTCATTCTGCATTTTAAAAGTACGTATCCCATTAACATTCTGGGTCCCTGACAGATTGTCCCAGCAAGTGTTCTGAATAATTTGAAGGGGATTTTAGTCAGGTACCACGGTACATATGGTTTACACACAAGCTGAATTAAAATAGAGGACATTATGAATAACACTTCAATGAATCCACAAATACAAAATATAGACACAATAGATCACATTTGTACTGAATGTTGAAAATGACAAAGTGCTTTTCTCACAACAACTCTATGAGGTAGTATATTATTTATCCCTCTGTGACAATATGAAAAAAGGCTTGGAAAACTAAAGTGATTTGGCCAGCCTCACAACTAATAAGGTACTGGGCTAGGCCTTGTACTCCTAGACCAGTGCTTTTTCCATTAGAGAACACTAACCTTCAGATCAGTTTAGATGACTGAAAGGGGTTTGAGGGCTAGAAGGTACACTTTAGAAAAATCTCAGTAACAAGTTCATCTCTAACTCAAGCAAACAAAATCACAGCGAAGGCTACTTACTAGGCAGGTCTGCAGGTTTAAAGTCACCAGTTCGGGACAGTGTGTGCCAATGTATTTGAGAGCTTCATCCTCAAGCTAGAAAGACAGTAAAAAAGAAAAGGCTAGTTACTGACATTTCGAAGGAGATAGAATGGCTTTTTCCCATACTCCGAGGCTGGCTTAAATCATACTGTTTTGTATTATCAATATTTTATATAATTTTTGACCAATTTCTACTCACTGTACCACCATTACTAAAAGGAAAGAAGAAATGAGCATCACTTTGCCTATGAATGAGGCTTCTATAGATGTATGGGCTCTGCAGATGGCTTATGAGGCCAATCAGTTTCCCCTATCTCCACATCCTCCAGAAAACTCTTTAAAACCCAACTTCTGGAATCAAAAACTGAAAAAAGAACCCATAATGGGATTTTTTTGTTTTCTTGATGTGAGTTTTTTGTTTTTTGGGGTGTTTTTTTTTGCCACTGAATGATCACTGCCATGCTTACAGTGCTAAGAACAGATGGCATATAATTGATTACAAAATGTATTCCAATCAATATTTTTCAGGACTCCATAAATAACCAAAAGCGCAAGCTGTTGTTTTGTGGTAATCAAACCCCTGACATACTGCTTTGAACATCAGGGCCCCACCCATCCTGGCAAAAGAATGGTAGGAGCTACCCTCTAGTCTAGATATAATTTTACTACTGACTGAGATCTGAGACAAATTCTCATCTAAAACCTGCAACCACAGCTGAGTCATTATTCCAAATCCATTCTTTTTTCTCAAGCATGCTTGCAAAATTACCTTTTCTAATATAATAGAGATGAATTTCACCTTTTTTAAACAAGGTGTCTGTCTTCTGCCATGTATGACCAATGGGGTAATAAAGGGGAAAGAAAAGGTACCAAAATGATAGGTAGTATACAGGAATTAAAGAATTTGGCACATAAAAGAATTTAAGATTTCTTGGCAGCTAAACATTTGGTTAGAAATGCCAAGACTGCTTATAAATATCAACTCAAAGTCTCAAACAAAATAGTGACAACGTGAGCAGTTTTTTTTCATGTGGTAAGATTACAGAACAAAGCTCTGTTTTTCTATGTTACCCATTCAGGATGACCTTTCAAAGAAAAGCAATTCTACTATTAGATATGTTTATTACTTGCCAGATATTAAACTTCCTTATTTTTTTCCCAAAGTAAACAAGTTAAGGCTTAGTGAACATGTCTTTGATAAGCAAGTAGCAGGAAAAAATAATTATCTTTCTTAAGCCTCCTAACTCCATTGCCTTGATCTCATATTCTAAGGGTACTATGTTAAGTATTACCTGTGTGCAGCCTTTAAGAAATAAGGCTTTGAGCCCTCCACAGCCTCTCACTAGAGCCTGGATACCATCCTTGGTCACCTGGTCACACCATGAAATGTTCAGTTGTTCCAGCAGTGGACATCCCTCGCTTAAAAGGGGGAAAAACCCAAAACCAGAAAAAATCATCACAACTAAGTACTACTCCAAGACTTAGGACCCCAAAGTCCATTTTATGGGTTTTTCAGTCAATAAAAGAAATGGTTAATCTCCTCTTACTCACATAAACATACATTTACTTAACCAGACAGTAGAATATACAAGGTTCCATGTCAAAAAAAAAAAAAAAGAAATAAGTCTTTCAAAGTTAGTGAGGTATACCAGAAGTCATGTTAATATTCATGGTAATTGCAAACCTAACAAATAAAATTATTTTCCACAGACATTTTTCAAGTATGAGAGTTGCAATGAGGACCAACTTCATTATCCTTCAGAGGCTAGCTTACCATCACACTGGCTGTAGGGAGGGAAATTTTTTGGCTATAGAAATTTCAGAAATCTAATTAGTAATCTACATAGAAAATATAATTTTTATTACTAGAGGGAGTAACCACATTGATAAATTATATTTTTAACATGTTTCACTGGCCTTATTGACTGAAGAATATTTCACACTTGTTAAGTACTTTCTGATCTATCATTATTTCAACTGTTGCACACAATCACCCTGTGAAGTTTGGCAGCTATTAATGATAATAAGTACAGGAAGTTTAAATGTTCTGCTTTAGGTCACACAGTTAGCAAGACACAGCTGAGATTAGAACCTACCCCTCTGTGTGACCCTGGCCAAGTCATTTAAACCTGTTTGCTTCCATTTTCTAATTGGTAAAATTATCTTGATAAGGAGATGGCAAACCACTCCAGTATTTTTGCCTAAGAAAACCCCAAATAGGGTTATAAAGAGTTGGAGAAGACTGGAAAAAAAATACAACTGAAGAATAACTGAGCCAAGGCATTTAGGTGTTTTTTTGGCCACCTACATTCTGGACCTAACTATTTTATTTAATTTTCTTACCTAAGTTATCCTTTTCTCATCTTTTCTGAGAAGTTTTTATAAATCCAGGGCCTCACTGCATTTTGTATTCTTATTTCATTTTTATCATCTCATTTTCCTTAACTTTTTCTCTCATAATCTGCAGTCTAGTCCTTAAGAATTTAACTTATCATAAACCAGCTGATATTTGGATTATGGAAGGTATCTGGCATCTACTTGGCTCAATCTTGGAAACTTCTGCTCCAACTGAATTTAAAAAAAAAAATCTCATACAGTTCCACTATGCCATTTACTTAGCGAACCACCAGGCCAAGGTGGGTCTCAGTGAATTTTTGCAAACTGACTGAATGCAATCAATAAATATTTATTAGACGCCTATATTACACGAGGCACTGAACTGAGCACCTGGGATACAAATACAAAAGTGAGACTGTATCTGCCCTCAAGGAGTCTACATGTTATTGGGGGAGTTACCACACGTTCACAAGTAAGTAAATATAGGATGTATGCAAAAAAAAAATGTGATTGACAGGAGGGTCATTAACAAATAGGATAATCAGGAAGGGTACTTGAGCTGACCCTTGAAAGGACCTGGGAAACTCTATGAGGGTGACTGCAAGAAGGGAGAGCTATGCAATGGCTGGGAGGCAAGAGACAAAATGTTACACATAAGAACCAGAAAAAAGGACAATCTGGGCTGAAACACAGAAAGATGAAAGGGAGTAATGTATTATCAGCCTGGAAAGATGAGCGACTCCAAATTTTAAAGTTCTTTTAAATGCCAAACAGAGGCATTATGTTTTATTGCAGATGCAGAGAGAAGCTATTGAAGCTTCTTGCACAGGAGTAAACTGGTCAGATCTACATTAGAAAATTAGAAAATTTATCCATTTGGCAGCTGCAAAGCAGATGAATTGGAGAGGGAAGTGACTATATGTGAGGAACCCTATCAAGGACCTACTGAAATAGTTCGGTGAGAGATAATGAAGACCTGAACTAGGGTTAGTGAATTTGAAAGATGTTGTGAACACATCAGATTTAAGAACTGACTGGATATTGGTAACCTAGTTCTCATTAAGTATAAATGTTACCAGTCTAAGTTATCGCTAAGGTTTGTTTATCTGGTAAAGCACCCAAGAGAATTAACCCTCCTCCCTTTCACACATCGCATCTTGGTACACAATGTTCCAACTGTCACTGCTTCATCTTCCTTCCATTCCTCTGGAAAAAAAAAATCAGAAATGGTATTCGTGTATTATGTTTACCTCTGACCAAAGGTCCTAGTTATGTTTATGTCATCTTACTTGGGGCACCACTAAGAGTTCAGTTTGGTATAGGATGAGAGATCTAATTTGAACTAGTGTACATATGGTTAACACCGTAATATATCCAATCCCTACCTCAGTGCTTTTAGAGACATGTTGGTTATCGATGTACAGGAAGCCAAGTCAAGGTGCCTGAGTTTGGAACAGAACTTGCTAAGGCTAGTACATGTGCTGAAAGAGGATAAAAAAAAATTATCTATATTTTTAGACACTAACGAAACAAGACACAGAAACACACATCAACATTATAGAAAAACCCACCCTTATTTAAATCATATACACATAGGTAGCAGAAGCTTCAATTTCCACGTCCCAAATAGCCATAGCATTGCAAATTATATAAATTTTTTAAAGATGAGAATTGGGCTGGTGACATTCACTTATAAGAAACATAGAGATATGCACAAAGGGGATGATGGTGTTTAGTTCATATTTGGAAATTTTAGATGTCAGCGTAGTCTGATTATATTTGTTCTAAAAGGTTTGTTTGTTCTTCAGAAAAACAAGAAAATTAGGAATGTATTATATAGCATCCCTAGAGTACAGCCAAAAATGAAGATTCATCCCTTCTTTCTTCTCAAATTTCTGCTCAATACAATCCTTTAATAGACAGATGTTATTAAAGTAAGCAGCTAGGGGTAGGGAGAACTGTCATTATGGAAATGAGTCATTTGCATGGGAAATACAGAATGGACAAGGAATGGGGTCAAACTGGGTCTATGTAGGGGTACGATTATACACTGTAATTAGCTGATTTTCTATTATGCCATTCTTTTGAAAAACTCAAAATTCTCAAATTCTAAAGATTCATGAGAGTGACAATAAAAATGCCTTTTCTCTAAATTAAATATGGACCACTGGTACAAACTATTCACTGTAGGGGAAAGTCAAGTGCCTCTTACATTGAAAGGTTTCAAGGAGATTCACCTAATAACTATAAGATAAAGTCTTTCAACACCTTGTAATATTAATAACTCATGTCATGAACTTCAAGAATGGCACAGAACAAACTACAGCCTATAAATGGAATGTCTTCCCTTTTCTTTCATGCAATTACTTTCTAAAATATCCCTTTTCTCCACTAGTATTCCCTAATTGGAAAAAAGAAGCAGTAAATTCCTTCAGATCCTCATACTACTTCAGTGAGCTCATTCTACCTCAAACAGCCAATACAATACATTAACATTGCATATAACATCAAGATTTTGTTAAATTTGCATAAAGAATTAAGGGCTTCCTTTTAGTTATATATTCTTTATTGCCTCTTTCAGATTATGGATTTCCCATGGTGAAAACCATCAATAAACTTATAAATATAGAAGTACAAGGCACTATGCTAGGCTAGGCACTGAGGATACAAAAGATTTTTTAAAAAATGACAGTCCCTGCTCTTAAGGAGCTTACATTGATAAGTAAAATAAAAGGTAGGGAGTGATGAGGGCAAAGGAAGAGAACTAGACAAAATGCTTTGGAAAATCTAAAGAGAGACAGAACATTTTCAGCTGGAAAAGCTATACAGAGGTGGTAATCTCTGAACTGAGCCTTAAAGGAAAATAAAGGTCCTGAGGGTTAGAAATGAGGAGAATGTGTATTTGGCAAAGGAAAAGAATGCAAAAAGTGTGAGATGGCACACATCAAGGTAGGAGAACAGGTAACTGTCCAATTTGGCTGAAACAGAGTATGAGAAGGGGATTACATCTATGAAATGAGGCTAGAAAGGCAGTTTGAAGCCAGACCATGGAGAACTTTGAATGCTAGTATTTTACCATGGAGCCACTGAATGTTTTCGAGCACGGGAGTGACACAGTCAGTCCTGTGCAGAAAGGGGAAAAGAACAGAGACAAGAAAACCTATGCTTTCAAATGGTGGCCAGTAGTGCAACATCTGAAAAGTAAGTAATTCTTGTATTTCATATTCTCATAGTCTTCAACTGGCTATGATTTTTTTAATCTTTCGCTTTAATCCTTAAGGCAGGATTTGGGAACAGTTGCAAAACAATTTCAATTCTATTTATATCTGAACTTCAGTTTCTTTTGAAAAATTTGAAGCTCTGTCTCAAATGAAATAGTGTATCACTATGAATACAAAAAGTATTCACTGGTTATGGGATGGGGTCAAATTGGGCCCATTATGGGACAGAGTTTTAAACTACTGGGCCCATCGTAGGACAGAGTTTTATACTAACTATCCGCCACCTTTTCTATTATGCCATTCCTTTAAAGAATTCAAATTTTCAAACTTCTCAAGACTAAGGATTCATGTAAATCACAATAAAAATGCTATTTCTTTAAATTAAATATGGCCTTGGAACCTGAAGCTCAAACAGCCAACGGAAGCTAACATTAATTCTCACCAGAATCAAAGAGGAAAGTGGGTAGGATCAGTAGTCACTTTCCTCTAGCCTGTAAAATGATTTACTAACTTCTTGATGCACCAGCAAAGGGTAGAAAGGAAGGGACCAGGAACTTTACTTTCATCCTAAATTATATAGTACTTACGCATCTGTGGTCTTTGTACATCCATTCAGATTCAGTACTTCAATATTCCTACAATTCTGTGCAAAGGTCCTTTATGAGAATAGAAAAGAAAGGCTTTCAGAATAGTGGAACTCTAGACATTTTGAAGAAGATACTGTATCTTCTGGTACCATAAGAGTTCACAAATTTACTAAAACTTTTTCATTAATCACTTCTCAAACTCTGATATCTGTGGTATCCCAATGTCCCTAAGTAAAAAAGAGGTTCAGAATGCTCTAGACCACCAGAAGAGTCAGCCCCAATGGATAGTTTCTGGTTTTCTCAGCTCTAGTTCTTGCTTTCTTCCACAATTTATATACAGAGTTTCCTCAATGGACAATTTTCATGGTTAAAATACTTTATGTGAATTAGGACTCTTCAAAAACTGAGAAATTAAACCAGCATTTTCTGTATAAAGAATCTTTTTTGCTTAGTCAAAGGGGACATTTGACAACTAAAATAAGCTATGACATTACCTTAATGCATTGTCTCCTACTCCAAGACACCCACGCAGACTTAACTTTCGCAAGAAACCACCACATCTTTTAGAAATATTCTCTACTACTCGGCCCTATGAAAACAAAGAAAAGCAAATAAACCACTCCCTTTGAAAGCATTTAATTGTGGTTTCAACATGTCTAAAGGAATATGAAAGCCTTCAATTAATTTTATTTTTCCTTCCACTCATTTAAAAAGATCTAGCCAATTTGGAACCAAATCTCAAACATACTTGAATCTACAAAGCCTTCTCTAATTAAACATCTAGTCATTCGTCTATGCATTCCACTGTTATTTACACAATCAATAAGATATTCTGTACTTGAGGAAATGTTGCTTTCTACTGTTCATAGGTCACCTCATAAATGTCATTTTGTTCATTTTTTTTTACATGTAACTAAGAAATATTTAATAAAATAAATAAAAAACATATGGGGGTGAGAGCCAATACTATCTACAATTGGTTTTGTGTTCTCTTCCACATTAGCAGTGTCTATTCTAGTGCTCTCTTTAGGGCACTTAATGGAAGCTGGCTATATTGAGTGTACATTTTTATATGCTTCAGGTATACATACATAGATAATTATGGGGGGGGAGCCAGTTTAAGATCAGTGGGGAAAACGTAGAAACAATTTAAATTAAAAGCAATCTCTATTCCATTATGGTGTGAAGAAGACAAAATCATGGCTGCAAAGTTTCCTCAAAGCTCACTTTCATTTATTCATTTGATTATTCATTTCACAAATCTGGTATATTGCTTGACGGAAACCATTTCTACTGGAGCACTAAGAAATGGAAGAATGAGATGAGGGGGGAAAGGATTTGGGAGGGAGAAATTTTTTAAAAATCTTTAGCACAAAAGCTCTTAGTCTGGATTCATGGTTTTGTCCAGAGGTATTTTTAACAACTTTTCTAGAAAATCAAGAATGGTAATTATGAGCTTTCCTTTAGCTTTCGATTTTCATCTAAAGACAGGCCACACCCACTAAGGGCTAAAATCGCAAAAGGCAAATTTTGCAATGTGGCATCAGGTTTCCTCTCTTCATCAAAACCATACCTGCATACCTTCACCAAAACCATATCCAAAATGTTCAGTCTTAGGAGCAACATACACAGAAACCATTCCCTAAACAAGACACAAATTTGCTTGCTCTTTTAACAAAGATAAAATTACTCTTTAAAATGAGAAAGCATATATTGACTCTTTAAAATAAGAAAGCAAATGTACATAATTCCACTGTGAAATTTTCTTTGGTTCTTTTCCAAAGAAGGTTCTGCCTGACCTTAAAAGTTAAAATGAGCTTTTGGGACTCAAGGTTTCCCTGAAGTTCAAATGCATTCAAATTAATGATTTCTTTCTTTCTTTCTCTTTCTCTGTCTCTGTCTCTCTCAGGAAAAGGAGGGTTATACTAATTGTATTAATCTGGTCTATACAGTAATTACACTTTAACAAGAGAAATGGGATCACATATCACATATAATTATACCTCGATATCCCTCTGGAAATCAAACAAGTCAATTCGCTGCCAGTTGCTGCCATCTAGAGCTAGAACATTCCAAGCCTAGATTGGGGTGGTGGGAGAAGAGAAGAGGGGGAAGAAGAGTACATAGAGTTAATTGAAAAAAAGAAAAGTCAGTGTGACCTAAATCAATCTTCATGAAAGTCTACTTAAGATTAAAACAAAACAACACAACTTCCACAAAAAACCCACAGATAATTCATACTACACAATGACTATGAGAGATATAAAATACTCTCCAAATACCATGATCAACCTGAAAAAGAGCTGCCCTTACTTTTAACCAATATAGAACATTCACCTTAGTTCTTCCTACACTTAGATCCACAATTACACAAAAAGGTGAACGGATATGGAACCTCTTGACACATTGTAGAAAAGTGCTCAATGTGGGCAGTCATAGCAATGGTCAGAGCAAAACAGGCTATAGGATAAGGACTGAAGCCAGAAGCTATTTTCTAACTAGAAGATTTGGTCTTCTTAACCCAGGGAACATTAGTTATCAAAGGAACTGACCAGCCTGAAATTGATAAGCCTGAATTAGATGAGGATCTAAATTAGATCCTCAGATCTAATTCTAAATTAGATTTTCAGATCTAGATCTAAAAAATTCAGATCTAAATCAATTTAGTTTCACCAGAGGTCAAACAGTGTCTCCTGCAACATAAATACATACATGGTTAGATGATCATCACAACACCAGTATTATAAGCAGGTTTCATTATAATTCAGCTATTCTTACCCTGGATACTTGAGCACAGCGACACAATGTAACAACATCCAGAAAAGAGAATATTCTAAAATGAAAAGAAAAAATTTATTGTAGAATAAAATAAGTTTGTCTTAATTTTAGATACACATAACATAACAAAATGGAACACTTTAAACAAAAAGACTAGAGGCAGCTAGATGGCATAATGGATCGAGTACTGGCCCTGGATTCAGGAAGACCCGAGTTCAAATCTGGCCTCATACACTTGACACTTAACTAGCTGTAAAAGGCTAGGCTTTTTAATTCTGTTGGAACTTCACAAATAAAAGGACGTAAAACCTCAGCAGTTTTTTTTAAAGGACTAATACCACTCTTACCCTAAAAGTGAAAAATTTAGTTTTTCACCTTACAATACTGTTGACAATAAACACTTATTATTTATCAACATGACAGCAACAGTTCAGTTAAAAAACCTGAAAAAAAACCTGAAGTCAAGAAAAATGGATTCTAAAGCAACAAAGTCTCACAAAAAGCAAAACAAGGGTGTTGCCCTATTTCTATATAATAGTGGTAGACGTATATGGTGGTAAAAGTGTAAACACTTCCCCTCTACTAATAAAAAGTTATACAACTGCTAAAAAAGGAACAACAAAAGTCATTGCAATATCTATAAAATAGTAATGACATTTAGTTAGAATCTTTCTATCACCAATTCTAGTTCAGAAGCCTATAAAAATAGAATGACTTTAACATATCAATGACAAGAAAGGATCAGGACTTTTGCAGGCAACAGTAAATATAAGCATACATTAGGTTTGAAGTGGACAAATGTCTACCTGACTATGACCAGATCAATTCTACCATAGGCGATCTATGTAATGTGGTTGGGTATGTTGAAATCAACACTAAATGGGTCACTTTTGCATGAAACACTTTTCTCCATGAATATTCAGGTCATATTGGTCCAAAAAGCTAGTTTTTGTTATTGAAAATGTTATTTTTCATCACCTTCAATTTTATTGATGTTTCATTTTTACATTAGATCTTCAAAAAAGGTCTCTTGTAACAGTTAAGTAAAATTATTAACAGTGACCTAATCTGAAAGTGCATGCAACATTTCACATCTGTGAAATCCTCTAAATCCTGTGAAATCCCCCAGCCTCTATTTAAAAAACAAAAATAATAGAAACCCATTTCCCTTCCTGTGATCTCATCCCTATCCCACTGGGTAAAAAAAAAGGAAAAAAAATTTTTTCTAAAAATGCACAGACATGCAAAACAAACCCCCCTAACCGCTGTACTCGAAATCTATCTATTCTATCTCTGTATTCTAAAGCTCTCTAATGGATAGCACATTAATCTTCTGGAATCATATATGGTCAATGTCATAATTCTTACAGTTTTCAAAATGTTTTTATAATGCTGTCATTGTATAAATTGTTTTCCTAGTCCTATTCATTTCATTTTTTATCCATTTATGTCTTCAAATGATTCATTTTTATATTTGTTAAAAAATACTGCCTCTTAAATTACTAGTTTCTTTTGCCACCACAGAAAGATCTGTTATAAAACATTTGTATACCTTTTTCTCTTTTGTATAGCTGAGTCAAAGAGCATGCATTGTTTAGTAACTTTTTGTGTATAATTTCATATTGCTTTTCAAAATGGCTGTATCCATGTGTAGTATCCCCCAAAGTTTATCAATATACTTGTTTTCCCACAGTCCCTCCAAAATTTATCAATTTTCATTTTTTGGTCACCTATGCCATGATGATGGTTGTGAAATAGAATCTCAGAATTGCCTTAATGTGCATTTCTCTAATTAGTAGAGATCTGGAGTGGCTATAGATACCCTGGGTTTCTTCCCTTCAGAGCTGCCTGTTCTTAGACCATATATCAATTGAGGAATGGCTCACTTTCTTATAAATGTCTAAGATACAAGGAATTGATTCAAATTTACAAGAAAACATTTTGTTTTCTATGATTCTATTCCTTGTAAGCCATGAACTTTTCTCCTATTCATCCAACAAGTAATTTTTTAAAATATAATTTTGTTTTGAGAATTTCCCTGTCATCCTTTGTGATAACAAGAATGCTATAAAACCATTTGGTGTAGAGTATATCACATGATCCTTTATTCGATAATATATAGACCTTATGCACCTTAGTATGAAAAATTCTCAAATCCACTTTAAATATAAAAATGTTTATCACATGACTGATTAAAACTGAGTTGGGAGGGTTAAGTAAAGGGCTAATTTAGTAAGGTAATGAAACTGATCTACATCCAACAAGCTCTGTAAAATGTTATTCACAGATAGGTAGAGGTTTCCTGATTGTAAGACCTGAGAAGCAATTACAATGGAAACAGTAACATCAAATTAGTTAGGTGGATGTAGGAGTACCATAACGAAGCCTGGAGTATATACTATCCAGAAAAATAATCACAGTAGTTACAGCAATATTGGAGCATCCCCCTGACTTGCAATAAGCATGCCATGATTACTATATCAGTTAGCTAGTCAAAGGACAGATGCCTGTTTTTGGAAAAGAAAATGATTAATTTTGATAGGGATGGCATGCAAAGCCTTTTAAAATTTCCTTTATCACCAGGTCCCTCAACCTTTGTGTCTACCACTTTATTTTTTTTTTCTTTTTTAGTTTTCAACATGTGCTTTTGAATTTTAAATTTTTCTCCCCGTCCCTGTTTAACTCCCTCCCCAAGAGGGCATGCAATCTAAGTTCTACATATACATTTCTAATAAATATATTTTCACATTAGTCATGTTGTAGGGAAGAATTAGAACCAATAGGAGGAACCACAAGAAAGAGGAAATAAAACAGAAGAAAAAAAAAAGAGCAAATAATATGCTTCGATCTGCATTCAAACTCCATAGTTCTTTCTCTGGATGTACCACTTTATTTCTTACCTAACCAGAAAAGAAGCTTATGGTGGAAATAAGAGAAAAGGAAAAAGAATTGGTGAATGACTCAAAGATATCAGGTGCTGGGTAACACAAAGATTAGTAAGAAAGGGTAGAAGAGCATGCTTTTATGTAGAACAGATGAATGACAAGGACTTTAGCCTCCTGGAATATGTAAAAGGTTATCACTGACACTCTAACTGCTTAATAAGGAACAACAATCAGTGAACAAGCTAACATGTTAGTTCTTCAAAGTGACAGATGAATCTATAGTGACATGAAAGAAATGCTTTAAATCACTAGTAACTAGAGAAATGCAAATTAAAACAACTCCAAGGTACCACCTCATACCTTCCAAATTGGCTAACTGGACAGAAAAGGGAAATGATAAATGTTGGTGGAGATATCAAAAATAGGACATGAAAGCACTGTTGGTAGAGTTGTGAACTAATACAACCATTCTGGAGAACAATCTGGAACTATGCTCAAAGGGCTACAGAACTGTCATGCCTTTTGACCCAGCAATACTACTGAGTGTGTATCCCAAAGAGATCAAAAGAAAAGGACCTATATGTAGAAAAACACTTATAGCAGCTCTTTTTGTGGTGGCTAAGAATTGGAAATTGAGAGGCTGCCCAGCAAATGACGAGCAAGATGATTTCAGAAAAACCTGGACAGACTTACATGGACCAATGCAAAGTGAGGTAAGCAGAACCAGGAGAAGTGAAGGGAGCAGAACCAGGTGAACAGGCATGACTTTAAACAGAATTAGAAGGGCAGGATTTTAACCATTTCCCCATTTTAAGTCCCACAAATGGAATTAACTTCCTAAGCTCCCTGCCACACTGCTGAGCATTAAGAAGTGTTCTTTTGTTAGTAATAAGCAAACTAGAAACTCCTAAACAGGATTCCTCAAAACTAAATCAGTCTTTAAAATAGTTTAGTAAAATGAATTTGTGAATGAAAACTTCCCAACTTTCTACTGACAAAGAATATCAGTATTAAAAAGTCAAATATACTCACTTTTTAAAACATGGAATTACAAGAAAAACAACAACAACAAAAATAACCTCAGCCAAAGAAAAACTTCAACAGCCAGCAAACTGGCACAGGTGACAAAAGAGAGCAGTCAGTGTTGGAGGAGTTGTGGAAAGTCAAGCATACTATCAGTTGTTCATGGAATTTTAAATTGGTCCAAATGTTCTGAAAAGCAACGTGGAATTATGTAAAGAGAGTAACTAAAATACCCATACCTCCGACCCAGAGGGTCACACTGCTAGGTATGTACCCAGTCTGTGATAAAAAGAAAAACCCCAAACACACCGAATACTTTTTGTATGACCTGGAAACAAAGTAAATTTCCATTAACCGGGAAATAGCTAAACAAAATGTGGTATGTAATTAGGATAAATATAGAGAAGCATAGGGAGACTTAGATAAACCAATGCAAAGTGAAGTAAGCAGAGCCAGAAAAACAATATATACAACTTCAACAATGTAAATGGAAACTAGGTAACAGAAGTTAAATGCTGTGAATCAACAATCTTAGTCATCAAGAAAAGGTGCATTTTAAATCCCTTTCTCATCTTTGCAGAGATGATGAGCATTATAAGTGTGGAAAAATTTTATTATACTAATTAGCTTTGCTGAACTAATTTTCCTTCTTTTTTATTCTTTGAGTTAGCTCTCTAGGAATGGGTAGAAGAGGGAAATGTGGCTCCAGTGAAAACAAAAGGTATCAATACTTTTTTTTAAGCATTAGAAAAGGAAAGCAAACATTTTATAATGACATGATGTGCTAATTTAAATGGTTGATTTTGACTTTGCAAAAATAGATGGATTGATTACTATAGTAAATTAGACAAACTCAATGGGATAGCTTAATTTGAAGTACGCCGTTCACCAGGCAGTAATACACACAGAAAGGCAATGAGATTTATTCCTATTACTTTATAAGCACATCTTGTTTAGAAGGAAAAAAAAATCAAACCAAAAGACAAGTGCCCAGCAGTAATGGTGTAGGGAATAAATGTTTACTGGAGTGAATTCAAACAAAAGTAGTAAAATAGAGGGTCGTTATTCTTGAAGATCTTTAAATTGTTAGTGTTTCTTAAAGATTTTTATCAAGACATATATACTAAAGAACTAGAGAAGAATACCT